GTGTGTGTGTGTGTGTGTGTGTGTGTGTGTGTGTGTGTGTGTGTGTGCGCAGTATGAATTAAGTATTACTGTCCTCAACATCTGTTTCAACACTTAAATATATAATAAAAATAATATCAATATTTCCTTTGACTCACATTTCAGGTAGACCTTTTCAGAGAGATCACATTTCGCAATTCCAAACAAACATACAGAGGAATTCCCGTGATGGCTTCTAATATGGACACAGTTGGCACGTTTGAAATGGCAAAAGCTTTATCAAAGGTAAAAATCCATTTCGGAATAAATATCAAAGTTTTTCCTTCAATAAATTTGTCAGATTTTTTAATGGGCTCTCTTTTTCCTCATACATAATATCCGCATACATTAAACAGATATAAATCAAAAACTTTTCGTATAACATTAATATGCGATCATATAAATAAAATCGTTCTGATATGATAATGCGTTGTCTTACTCATTGTGCACATTCTTTTAGCATGGTCTTTTTACTACGGTTCATAAATATTATACCGCAGATGAATGGAAAGGCTTTGTCGCGCTAAATCCCGATTGCGTAAAAAATGTAGCGGCCAGCTCGGGGACAGGAAACGAAGATTACGAACGGCTCTCGAGCATTTTGGAAGCCGTGCCGGAATTGTCATTTATATGCCTGGACGTTGCGAACGGATACTCGCAACATTTTGTGGAATATGTGAGAAAAGTAAGAGCGCAATATCCGAACCACACTATAATTGTAAGTACAATTGAACGTCTTATTATCTTCAGTATAGAAATACGATCGGTTGGTCGATGATTTTTAAGCGTCGCTATCATTCAATCACTAAATACGTATTTAAACATAAAGATTAATTGCTGCCGCTACAGGCAGGAAATGTTGTGACAGGGGAAATGGTGGAGGAACTAATACTCTCAGGAGCGGATATAATTAAAGTAGGAATTGGCCCGGGTTCTGTCTGCACAACGCGAATGAAAACCGGCGTCGGTTATCCGCAATTGAGCGCCGTGATTGAGTGCGCGGATGCGGCGCATGGCTTGAAGGGCCACATCATCGCCGTAAATATTTATTATTACATTCTCTATCGCAATTGGCACGAATGTAATCGTAGACGTACCTCGCTTTCATCTAACGTATTAACGTGTTTATTCCTCAGGACGGTGGGTGTACCTGTCCCGGAGATCTAGCGAAAGCGTTCGGTGCCGGCGCGGACTTCGTCATGGCGGGTGGAATGTTCGCGGGTCACGACGAATGCGGGGGCGAAGTTATAGAAAAGAACGGAAAGAAGTTGAAACTTTTTTACGGTATGTCCTCCAATACAGCGATGAAGAAGCACGTCGGTGGTGTTGCAGACTACAGGTGAGAACTGCGACAACTGTCGTAGCGCTACAAACAAGTATACGTGTGTCAAGATGATGATTAACGAAAAAATTTGCCCCGCACTCATTTCAATGCGTAGATCTTCAGAAGGGAAAACTGTCGAAGTGCCTTACAGAGGTTTGGTCGAAAACACTGTGCTGGACATATTAGGCGGCCTAAGATCCGCCTGTACTTACACAGGGGCCGAACGTTTGCGCGAATTACCGCGACGAGCGACGTTTATACGCTGCACGCAACAATTAAATCCCATGTACGGACCTCCCCCAGAAATGTAAAGCTTATGATTATTAAATTAGTAAAAAAAAAAGAGGCTTAGGAAAGAAAGTTTTAAACGCCAATATTTGTTGATCGCGTATTATTTGCTGGCAAATAATATTTATATATATGGGTGAAAATGCAGTCTTGTAAAATATTTACCACGCTGTATCGTGTAATGACGTTTAAGTATTACGAATTAATCCTTAAGTATGCTCAAATGTGGAAGAACGTTATACAATAATCCTTCATGCACAAATAAAGAAATTTCGTTACATTAAGCGCCGTTTTATATCATTGTAGTTATCCTCTTACGAACAATCATATATCAATCTCCTACAGCAACAAATCGATGCTTTAATTATCTCCTAATTTATCTCTAATTACATTTCACATTTAAACAACGAATGGGCAGCATTTATACACTTCGTTGTTCTTTTTATTATGAAATATGAATATGCATATATATTTTACAAACCTTGTACGAAATGTGCACTGTATCTACAGTAAGCTCTACCTATTTAGTACTTTACAGAAATTTTATTTATAAGTGGAAATTTTTCGTACGTATTTGCTATTTACTTCTCTTGATCAGAGAAACTGGAAAGTTCTCTGTTGCACCTGTTCCTGAAACATTCGCCAATGTTAATTAATTATGTGCATAAAAGTATAAAAGATAACAGGAAAATTTCAACTAATAAAAGAAGATCGAGTAAACGCAAAAAAGAAAAAAGAAAATATTATTGTGCTATTATAACGAAACAAAAATATAATTCACGAGATTTATAGAACCGACTAGAAGTTATACTAGAAGTTTGACAATGTAATTGATTAAAATACTTGCCAACAATGTTAATATACGAAGTGGAAAACCTCCCTATTAATATATATTCTATCATAATTCCTATGTTATAATCGCAATAAATAGATTTCGTATACGACGTCTGTGAAACTTGTATACAAATAATCCTTCTAATAATTAAACGTGATATGATGCATGTATAAGTTCCTGGTTTATATCTTATATATCTTATCATATTTTACCATTCTAATTTTATTTGATAATTAATGTCAATGCAAATAATAAAAATATTATGAACGTAATTTGTAATTAAAAATTTCTGCAAAAAAATATCAGAGACAATACATATTTATGATCTCGAATATGCACGTATCCATAAAACTCAAAGTAACATAAAGGAAAAAATTATAAAATTATTCGATATATTTTTTTGATATCTTATTTGAAATATTTCTCAAGCAACATAAAATATTGTAAATTTATTATATAAGTACCTTTTAATTAAATATATAAATATATTCGAAATAATGCCACAAAATATACCAAATGAAAACATAAATTTGTTTTATTAACAAATATTAATGCATGGAAAATATATAAATACTAACATAAAAAAAGTATTGTTACATGTCTAGATACATTTTTTTTATATTACATCAAATATATAAGTAACGAGGCCAAACATAAAATTATTATTAATTTTGAAATAATTTCCTTTTTATTTTAAGGAGCGACGAAACTTTTGAAGATATCTTTTAAAAGTTATTCATGTGTTTCCTGATGATATAATTGTATAAACATAAGCATAATATTAATGATAATTTTATATTTAAAAAATGGATGACTTTCTAATATTACAACCAAACTGTAGTTCAAGATATAATTGAGTTTCAACGCTGCGTAATTTTCAATATCATACTAAGTGTGGCTTGAGAAAATAGTAATACATAATTATTTATTATTCCTACCTAGCTTTCAATTGTAACGGAGTAAAATTACTGTAACAAAATACTAAGATTTTCATTAACTTTTTTTTTCATCGAAGAATAAGTATGTAGAAATACATGGCGAATATATGAAAGTTTATATAGATATTTTACTATTTATGAATACAACATATATCTCTAGAAAGATTATATCAGATATTAGATGTATTTCAAATTTCATCTCTTCTTATTCAGTAGTTAATGCATTATTTTATATAGAGAATGTTTTAGAAGTTGCGTATTGTAGACAAGAAATATTAAAGACAAAATCGAAAAGTATAAGTCCCAGTCTACAATAGGTGTTTTAAGCCCTAAGCCCTAAGAAATTGACCAATCACAGTAAATTATTCTCCTCAAATTCAACTATGATTGAACAATTTCCTAAGGCTTAGGGCTTAAACCACCTATTGTAGATCGGGACTAATGGTTACATCATTATAGGGAAGCACATCGATATTGTATATGTATAATGGACTAAAGTTCTAATTAAGATTGTGTTGAAAATTGATTTGCCATCAATGAAAGATTAATTTTACTTCGCAATCTCAATAGTAAACTTTATCCCACTTAACATGAAAAATAAAGATCATGCGAAAAGAATCGTGTGCAATACAGTTTTTGCTGAGGTCTAAGTTTATCAAAGAATTTATAACTACGATAAGAAGCTTCCCATCTTCGATATTCTGTATCCACTTATGAAAATGAATTGAAGCATGTAATAAAGAGATGTACAAAAATTTGAAATATTTTACATATGACTAGTTAAAGTCTTTTGATACTTAATTACTCGGAAATAAAGAGCCAATATATTTCGTTATGTATATCGTATAAAAACACATGTAATACTGACTAAGCAATGTTTAGAATGTTGTTAGTAAATTATATTCCACGTTATGAGTTATATATATCCCGTCCGACTAATCTCCAGTTCGCAGGTCCTGATTCCTTTGTATACATGTAGATTAATGCTGAATGAAACATTTTAAACTGTAGGATGTCCCATGCCACGACATATTGTAGGACGGGTAAACCTCTCTAATTGGCTGCTCCAAATATCTAAAAATAGTATTGGTATTTCACGAGAAAGCAAAAGAAAAACCAAAGTAACATTGTATTTAACACAAGTGCAATAGGACATATGCATATATAAATGTCATATCATGTATCTTTCGTATACATAAGTAGAAGAACTTTCATGGATAATGAAAACACATGGCAGCTGCATCAATTATATAGCATTTCGTATATAGTCAAGAGTTTTATATAGTTATAATAAAACACGAGTGTCTCAGGTAAATAAGTGTCTTATCAAGGTATATATAATAATCTAATATGATAAATATACTAATATATCGTTCATAACAACGCATTTATAAGGATATAGTTTAACAAGTTTAATGACAGAGAAAGAGTAAGAGAAAGAGTAAGATAAAGAGAGAGAGAGGATGGCAATAAAATGGTACAGATGTCGATCCCTCGTTCCACTTTCTGACCCGCTGCTTCACCTGCCAGCTTCAACTTATATTACAATAATACATGTTATGGAACAAAAATACATACAATAGTATAAGTAGAACACAGACATCATATTTATACTATATTATAATATTAATTGCAATCAAACTTCTCTTGTTTGATACTTTTTGTTACTTAAACTTAGAACGATGGGATATCCTATAGTATATGTATACGTGTATATATAAAAAACACAAAACGTTTTATAGTATAAACAGAATATAATCGATTCTCATGACATTCTCAAAGATATATGAAGATTATGAAGCAGTCAACTATTTATGATAAAAGTTATATGGAGATATAGCAGATATTAACCGCATCCCGATGGAAAGCTATCTGAAAACTATCTGAAATAAACAAATAATTATGGTAAAAAGAGATGACCCATATACAAAAAGAACAGATTTTATTTCAAAGGTGTAAAATGTATCGTTATTCAAATATTCGCATGAACCACGAAATTATCAAAAATTTCATGTTTTGCAAAGTTTAAATCAAATTCCCTGAAAGAGGTTCAATGATTATAAGTAAATAACATTTTCTTATTCTTACACCATTGATTTATAATATGTCGGAATATCAAGCCAATATAAAAATGAGTATTAAATATAATTAAATAAAAATAATTAAACTATTAAATAAACAAAATTTTCAAATAGACAAGGTATAAACAAGGTATAAACAAAACAACAGGCATAAACAAAATAAAAATTATGATTACTTCTTTTGATGTTAAATTTATATATTTCATCAATATATAACAACACTCAAGTTTATATTAGCTTAGTATAACAACTATAGCACTTAGAAAATCATATAAATTTAAACTAATCATCATTCTTTAAAATGCTAGCGCTACCAAACAAGTTACTGAACTTTTAATCATCGGAATTAAAGTTTTTGCCAAAATAAAGATCTATAAATTTTTTTATGATAATCAATTTGATTTAATATATCGTTAAAACTTTATGCTTTATATAATTTTCCGTATGCTCATTCATGTTTGTTGTGCTGAAATTTACTTACAGCTTGCCTTTCTCTCAAATGGAAGTTTAATTCTCAGAAGTAGACTGTGAGTAAGGATAATTCTGATATCCTGTTGGGAAAGAAGGATTTTGCTGCCCCGTCTGTGGTTGAGAATTAGATCCAGCATTCGCTGCGTAATAACCAGTTGGTGCGGAGCCAGCGTTCATTGTTGGATAACTTCCATAAGCTTGAGGGAACGCGTTAGGAGTGGTACCTGGTGGACCAGCCGATTGTCCCTGAAGAGTCTGCATTTGTTGCTGGGTCATTTGGTTCCCTTGCATTCCAAGCTGCACATTATTATATATGATGTTAAAATACAACAGCAAACAACAATATTGAGCGTTATATTTTGAAGGAAATACCTTGCCCGCTTTCATTTGAGCTTCGATCGCTTCTGCTTCCTTTATTTTACCGATGCTTCTGTAATATTCTGCCCATTGCACGCTATAATCTGCTTGACCACCATTTTGCGCGGCACCTGCCTGCTGTTGCGGCTGCGTCTGTGGCTGCGGCTGTTGATTTGGCCCAGCAGAACCGGTTGTCGGTGGATTAGACTGATTTTGCGAATTACCTGAAACATTTTATTTCATTAATTTTACAGAATAATCTAAAAATCATGCTGTAAATCTCTCAGCAAAGATTTCCTTGTGATATAAAACTGTAAAGATTTTTACCTCCTTGCTGATTATGATCTTGCTTTCCCTGTTTCGCTTGTTGCTCAATCATGTCTGCTTCTCTGTGCATGCCTAGTGAACGATAATACTCCGCCCATTGAGCACTATAGTCTGGCTGACCAGTCTGTGGATTGACTTGTACAGGAGCTTGATTAGCATTGCCTGCAAGAGCAAATGTATCGCATAACAGATTTGAAACTTACCTTCTTGCATGCTATAAGGAATCATAAAGCCATACATACTTCCGTCGTTGGATTGTGGTTGATTTGGCCATGCTTGATACCCTGTATTCCAATTTGGATTGTATCCGACTGCTCCTTGCGCTCCAGCATATGAAGAACCAGCTGGACCCTTTAAATAATAAATAAACTATTATTGAAAAAATATCTTATATAAGAATGGTCATCAAGAGACACGGTGGTGTCTCGCACCAAGTACGCGCGGAGTACCCGAGATTTTGAGATAACGAGTGAACGGATCAAGTTCTAAGTAAGTATATACTATATATAACTAAACGTACCATCCCCAGCTTTTCGCTAAATATTCTCTTTGCGTGTTCAACTTGTTCAGGATTTCCTCGAATAATGAAAATCTTTTCATTCTCATTGCTCTGATTCCTTCTATCTAACTCACAGTGCGCTCCTGTCTGTTGATTGATCTGTTTGATAGTTTCACCACCTAGAATAAAGATTTTAATGCAAGATAATTAATTTTAAAGGAAGAACATCATCATTACATACTTATTAAATACAATCAAGAATAAAATTACTAAGATTTTAAATCAATAAGATAGGAGGCTTTAACAACGCACATATATAAATGCAATTAACACATTTAAATTAACAAGTAAATAAAGTAAAACCTTTGCCAATTATAATGCCGCATTTGGAAGAAGGAACGGTAAACGTTGTTTCAATTTTATCTTGCATAGGGCCGCCTTGTCGTCTATCCCAACTCCCATACTCATTTGGATTGCGATTGCCACCAAAACCATTACCCCTCAGGCCACCTCTGCCACCTCCCATATTAGTTCTACCATCATCTCTTCTCTAAAAATAAGGAAGTTAACAATAGATTTTCTGCAGTTAAAAATAAATAAAGAATATTGATTACGGTATTAGCTCGTAAACATATATGCATTCTAATATAATTCTAATAAAATAATCGTAAACATATCAAGATATATACCATGACGCTATCAATCAACTCCTGAATTCTTTGACGAGCCTGTTCAACAGCTTGATGCTTTCCTGACAATAAACATTTTCTATCGCCAGGGCCGTCTTCTCTTCCTTGTTGGAATTGAACTTTAGCTCCGCTTTCGGCTTGTATCTTTTTTATCATATCCCCACCTTTACCAATAACGACACCAACTGCGGCTCTTGGAACAAGTACCTATGTCAAATAATAACTTTATAAATTTTAAAGATAAAAATATGTATCTCTCTATTTCTCTTTCTCCCTGTACAGTTAAATTTTAAGTCAACAAACATTTTTAATTACAATCGCTTGTGACATAATAAAAATAATTATTAACCTCTACTCCATCACTATTTGCAGGACCATGATTAAAACCACTATCATTAGAATAGTTTCCTGTCCTTTCGGTACCACCACCACCCCCACTACCACCTCTTCCTCCTCCTCCTCCTCCTCCTCCTCCTCCTCCTCTATGAAACATTTGCATTTCTTTTTCAGCTATTAATTCATAGACTAATTGCTTTGCATATTCAACTTTCTGGGGATCTCCTGTTATTCTACAGAAAGACACAGAACTTTAAATAATTATGCCATATTGCCTCGGTATATAAAATTGAAGAACAATTGTTTTTACATAGAGGAAAGATTATTTGTCTTACCTCAAAGGTTTCTCTTGTTCCTGAGATGGCCCCTCCTGAATAACAACCATCTTAGCTCCAGACTTCTCTTGAAGTTGCTTTATAGTTTCCCCCCCTTTGCCGATTATCAAACCAACTTTAGGACCTGGAATCATTATTTCAACAAATCCTGGATGTCCCATCATTCCGCTGCCACTGCTGCCACTCATATTCATATCGCCGATTCCCTCGCTTCTGCTCCTTTGATTTACTATTGACAATACAAGCTCCTTCGCACGACTGAAACACATAAAGTACGGATGTACAATACTTTTTCAACTAAACTGTTTTACATGTGTCAAAAGATTTAATCAATGTACAACAATCAAGTTTATTTGCAACACATAAATATGCACTAATATCTATTGCGGATCAAAATTATACATCACATTTGTAATATTTCTCTTTTCTAATGATCAAAGTTTTCAAACGGTATAATAAAAAGTTTCAAAGATTTTGTATCAAAATGCCATGTATAGGTATCAAATTGCCATATATAGATTTAATCATAAGCAGTTTCAAATAAATAAATAAAATTCTCTTCATGTTGTGATTAACACGTCCCCATGCATATCCTATCCTCCTTCCTTCCACCTTTCTCTTTCTCCATACCCTATTAAAAGCAAAAAACTATTAGTAAATACAAAATTATTAAATCAAAAGGTCAACTCATTAATCAATTTTCAATGGTCAGAAATTATGAAGCTTATAGAAAGTCAAGTTTGAACCCGCTATTGGCATCCAGGAGCTAAATAAAGATTCTGTAAAACATTTCATAATTTCAATATGCGAAAGCATATATCCTACATTTGTGAAATGCATGTTAGGATGAAATTGTAGCATATATAAAATATACTAACATGTAAGCTGTTATCAGAATCAATCGTAACCCAATTCAATCACATTTTCTAATAAATAAGATCGTATAAAGCGTTGTGCAATATTTATACGTCGTCATAACATCGCAGTTTAAAATGATTTTTCAATTGTTTTGGGGGAATGTGACAAGATGGGAAGTGTGGTGAAAAAACATTCGCGCTTAAATAAATTAGAATGTGAAATGTCCCTATAAAAATTTAAGGAGGATAGCAGATTTGCTTGGCTTATTTATAAATAATTTTGACTAAAAAAGTACTTTCCAGTCTATAACTTTATAAAACTTGAATCGATAATCATACCCCATTTCCATAAAAGACAAACATTCAAGGCCAACAGACAAAAGTAAACTCTTATCATTCATTGTGTGGATATAAAGTCATGGTATTGCATTGCATACAAAATAGTTGAAATTAACGAAATAAGAAGGGAAAACAAGTTACTTGACAGCTTCTCGTGAACCAGTTAGCGTGCAAACACGCTCAGGCAGCCCACCACTTTCCGGTGCCATTTGAATCTTACATCCTGTTTCGCTTTGCAATCTTGTTATCTGTTCTCCACCTCTGCCAATTACTGTAAATACATTATTATCACTTAAACGTAATTATATATTTATTATATATATAATGTTCCTACTGTTGCATTTCAATTATGAGAATCAATTAATACAACAAAAACAATATCCAAATTTGTTCCAAAATGCAACAGGATTTTGTATTAACACAATAATAATACTTAGACTATAAAATTTACATGGTAATATTATAAGTATGTCACAATAAATGATAAACCACAGCTAGTTCTTAAATCATTACAACGGATTGTAATACAACATATTGCCGAAATTTGTACAGAGAATATGCCAGTGACCTCTTCTATAATTTTACTTACTTAAACCGACCATTTTATCTGGAACTCTGATGTCTTCGTTGCATATACCACCTAAATTGGAAGAAACTTGCGGTGGTCTGGCTCCTTGACCACCCGCATCTCCAAGGGAATTGCCAGCGGGTCCACCACGAATACCTATCAAAGGATCTACTACTAACGATGCCATTTTCTTAGCCTCTGGCTCTGAAAACGCAACACGTAAATGCACACGTTAATACAGAACGCAGTCTGCAAAGTGGATCGTTGGCTCTATCAATAAAATAGAAAAAAAATCTATAAGTAAATTTTAAATATTACCTGAACTGTCTTCAAGAGGACGTTTCAATTTGGAATCCTGATTATTTTGTGCACCACCTGGATTTATCTTTGCGGCAATCTGGAACGATCAAATCGTAGACATAAATTCAGAAGAATGCTTTACTTTCTAAATTGAGTCATCGTACAAGTCATTTCATTAAGTATATTTCAGTTAACCAAAATATTATACGCAAGTATTATATTACACATATATTATACTCTCAGAGGCCAAGCTGATTACCCTCATAAAATAGAAAATTGCTCAAAGTTACAAACTAATCTTATCGCTCTGAGACTAGGAAATTTACAAATGATCAGTCTAGCCCACGAGGCGCTCGTACGTCACGGATAAGACTCTCCCGAATCGTGCCGCGTAAAATAGGCCGATCCGAGAGGTAACAGCCGCGAGTCGCCGCCGCCGCCGCCGAAGGACATGACGCTCTCAATCGCGGGAGACGCGCACGGCCCCCATCGCCGTCGTCGACGTCGCCGCCGCGGAGTCGCGCGATCACGTACCTGCTTGGCGCGTTGGAGTGCCGCCGCGAACGCGGTGCTCTGGCTGAAGTTCTGAGGCGGCGCGACCGCTGAGTAGTCACTCATATTGGTGCATGAAGTTGTCGGGACGGGTCGGGGGATTGAATCACGTTGCTGCTGCTGCTGCTGCTGCTGCTGTCTGGGTCCAACGATGGTCCAACGATCCGCCTCGCCGTCGCGGGCTCTGGCGCGCAGACGGAATGGAAACGGCGGCTCGCGGACGCGAGAACGACAAGCTTTTTTACGAGGCGGCGCGACGCCGTTCGCGAAGAAGGGAAAAGTTTACGGCGAACTCGGCGAGTGAAAGAACCGTACTTTCACGGGGAAAACGGCACGGCGCAAGCGTCCACCATTGGGTGCGCGACCGTTTTAGTGAGGAAACTCGCGCCCTCGTTGTGCCCTCGTCGCGCGATTCGTCGGCAATCGCGGTGACGCGCGGGAAGCCGTCGAGGATGTGTTCCGAAAGTTCTGGCGGTATAAAGGTGAAATTTCATGGGCAGTGAAAAGCAGCAGCAAATTGTACTGATTGGCTATAAAATAGAGAAGTTTTCCAGTTCCTAGAACTTCTCTATTTTGTAGCCAATCAGTACGATCTGCTGCTGCTTTTCACTGCCCATGAAATTTTACCTTTAGGCTACGGTCACATGATGCGTCATGCGTGATGCGGGATAGGCGTCCGTCATAGCAACAACCAATCAGAGCTATCTCGCATAACGCATCCCGCTTGATTTTCGTCCGCTTTTATCTGATCCCGGCGGAATTGAACGTGACAAATGGACCGCCACATTCAAAGATGAAAGATAAATTCTCTGACAATAGTCAAATATTTTTTAAATTGTTAATATTTAATATTGCTTGTCGAGGATTCTTTCTTCAGTTCTTTTTTCTTAATTCACTAAACTATTATATCTTTGTCATTTTCATCTTTGTTGTATACTGCTAAAATGTTAATTTATTTTATTACATACTGTAGAAATAAAATTTAAGAATCTAATACAAAAACATCAAGGTTTTTTCTCTTATTGTTAGACTGTTAAAATTACGATATCAGTTCAGATTAGAATACGTACGCTCAAAAGTAACAATTATAATAAAATCAATATTGCTCAGTTGACGATTTTTATTGCAGTAAAAGTATCGTGTCGTGCGATACGGTCGCAGTTCAGTAACAGCCTAGATTAAAGTGCAATCATTTCCAGTTTATGACAAGGTTTACACTTATGCTTTTTCATTATTTCTTATAAAAACTTTGTAATTCTGCAATCTTATCCTTAACGAATAAAATTCCTCACAGTTATATAAATCATTTGACATCAACTCTTAACGTTTGTTGAACAGTCAGAATATATTATCTTTGCAATAATAGTCGCTAATACGAAGCAAGCGCATGTAACAAAAGAAAAGGGATAACAATAAGCAATTTGACTCGAAGTACTTCTTTTATTAAAAATAAATTTATCATTGTTTATTGCAATCCCTTCCCGCACAAAATTAATAATAAAACAATTTTAATACAGTAAAGAAAACATAGGAAATATAAGATAATAGAATACAGAAACGCATAACTGTTAATAATCACATTTCTTGTTTTCTTACTTAACACAATAATGATATAAGATAAATTATTTCACATTGCATGCCATTTGACATTCAATTATACAATTTCTATAAAAAATATAAATAAACTACTTTCTCTATAATAATCAAGTATATTTAAGTACAAATATAAAATAAATATAAATACTTATAAATATACTTATATTAATAATAAAAATTTCTATCGAATGGAATAGCTTTATTATATTCTCTTTTTTAATATTATCACCTAAAAAGAGAGTCTAACTAATTAGAGAGTCTAAAATATTACATTAAAATTACTGTTAAAAGTATTGCGTCTTATTAATAATTAAGTACATCAAAGCGCAGATCATCGTTAATCCTTATGCCTCTCTGTATTACGTATTCTTTCCACTAAAGCCCGTGTAATATTACCAGGTACTTTTTGATGTTTGCTTATTAAATCTCTAAGACTATCAGCAACCTGAAAGTATGTTTAAATATTTTCGAGTGATATTATTTGGGAAGTGTACGACGTGTTTTACACCTTCATAATTATTTACCTTTGTCTGCAACTCTTCGGGCGTAAGACTCCCGTCGTACGGAATAGGTTCACCTACATACGTCACCAATTTTACCGGAAAGCCACCGTAAATCGGTACAAGAGGAAGTTTCGTCGTAGCATATATCTTCAGCCATATTCTTCTTCCCCAACTTACAGTTCTAAATGCTTCTCTGAGATTTTTCGTAAAGAAAGGAACTATACTCTAATGAGAAACAACCATTACAATAGAATAAAATAAAATAATACAAAACTTTTGAAGAGAACGCACCACTTTCGCATCGAGAGCGACCTTTGCAAAGCCCATCCTTTTTTGCCACATAAGCTCGTAATAGGAATCCCCAAACTGAGCTTCGTACACTCCACCCGGAGAAATAGCGAGCATATGTCCCTCTTTTAAAATAGCTGAACAAGTCTGAACTGTGCCGGGTATAATTTTCAGAACGTCAGCGAATATGGACCAACCAGGAATCATGAAGAGAAATCGATCTACCACCAGGCGGATTAGTTTTGAATTGTATAGAAATACTTTGGATGCAAAATAATACACATCGACTGGGATAGCTCCATGGTAATATATGAATAATACTGGCTTGTCCTGTGGAATATTCTCTAAGCCCACAATTTCATATCCTGTTAAAGAATTATACGTGTTATATTCTAATGAAAATCTATAGTTACGTGACGCAAACTATATATTTTCAGCACTGCCAGTAAAAAAAAAATACGGGGCTTGTATAGCTCAATTTAAATGCTTTCTAATGCCCAGTGCTTCTTATATAAATAAATTATTAGACTGGGATGTACCATGCCAAATCCAACCGTGTGCGTCCCAGGCAGCTGCAGCCATATGAAGAGCTGCGTCTCGCCATGCAGTACCATAAGCATTTCTTAATCTAACCCTGAAAGAAAAGAAAATGTTTCTTTTAAGTATGCTTTTTATATAAACTATGTGGTATATTTCTTTTATATAAACTGGGAAACTGTTTTGAACACAATTTTGTAAAAAATTATAAATTAAAACGTATGTTATAAGCCAATACATTCACAAGTTTGCACTCGTTGCTTCTAACAGCGAATTATTTCATTATAACAATCGGCTTGATACAAATGAGTTATCTGTTACAGTTAATATTAATAAATTATATTGCATTTGATATACACGCGTTATGTTTTTAACCGATACGTTATATTCAAACCTGTGTAGCTTGTAGATGTACAACATTAAGGCAGTTAAGTACAGCAGCAGCGCAATTACAAGCGGGAGTAGAAATGTTACAAGAAGTGGCATTAGGAGCCATGTCAGCCACAATGTAAAGTCCAAGTCAATGTACTGAACTGCAAATAATACAAAGTACATTCTTTAACGATCGTTAAACTGCATTACTCTTCAAGGTACACATTCTTATAAAAATTATAACAAAAAAAAACTAAATATCTACTTGTACAAATAAGAAGCGTCATATTGCTAAACGTGCACTTTCACAAATGTTTATTTTTTTTTTTTTTTAAGTGTGATGAGGTAACATAATTAATTAAGACAGCGTTATGTTATATTCCTAATGATGACGTATGTATCAAGGCTTACGTTAACACAGCATTTTTACCTATAATATCTTCTAGCATTGGCCACAAGTTGTACACGATCGAAAACATGTTTAGTATTTAATTAATACAAAAGGAGACGTGGGACACGAATTAATTCATAGAATGACCGAGCTCTTTATACCCTCGCAGGAAGCACCCGTATACTCATCATTACGACTACGATCAAAGATTTATCGCATCTCTCGCGATTATACAATATATCCGCAGCACGATTAGCATTTATTTAAATTCTTCCAACGAGACTAATCATTAACGTTTTTGCTATTATTTTTTTCCCTATTATATGCATGGTCGGCGATCAATCGGCGTGGATCCGAATCGTTCCGCAAAGTGGCACGACACAAACGTCACCAATTTCAACTTCGCGTGATGCATTTGTAATATATCGTTACTTAAAATGAAAATGAATCGGGTCATTATGCGTGTCACATCGACGTCCCAATTCCGTAATTCATCGCGATGACTAGTCTACAATACCTAGCCGTAACCTTTATTCGGCGACAACAATGTACCGTATGGTACATATGTAATAACACGCTCGCGGACGGGGGGACGGGGAGAGCATAGAGATATAAGAATAGAGTGCGCGAGCGAGCTGAAAAAGCGATATAGGAATAGAAAGAGAAAGCTGCGCAGAATAAAAAGAGAAAGCTGCGCATGGGCCCCTTCTGTCTTTGTTTCGCATGCACGCGTAGACAAAGACAGAAAGGGCCTATATACAGCGTTCTTTTTCTATTCCTATGGCCTAGTTTACACCGATCTCTTGATACGCGTATCAAATAGTATATTTGAACTGATCAGCCAATAATCAGACTTATTTGCTAGTTATTTACTATTTAATACGCGTATCAAGTGATCGGTGTAAACTAGGCCAGAGAGAAACCTGAGGCTGGTTTCACATAGGGCGTAAGATGCGTATGCGTAACTTGCGTCAGCCAATCAAATCGTCTTAGTATTTAATCGTATCATACGCGTATAGTAGCTGAGACGATTTGATTGGCTGACGCAAGTTACGCATACGCATCTTACGCCCCATGTGAAACCAGCCTAAGTTTTGGCATATTACTAGAATACGCAGGTTACGCGTACGCTGGCGTACGAATTTTACGCCGCATGTGAAGGCAGCCTAAGATAAGGAAAATTGGAGCCTCTCTCGACCGTTGGTCAAACTGCCAATTGACACGTGCCTAACTTCAGCGCGATAAGTAAGCGCTGCGCATCCAAATGCACGTTCGTGCAGTTACGCAAACTGGCGTGGTGACCGTGGCGTGCGCGCATGCGCGATCGCACGCTTGTGTGCGACGTGTACGTGTGTGTGCGCGGCGCGTGCGTCTGTGTGCGGTATACAGATGATACACGGATTTTGCAATTGTACTCGATCCGGAATCGTGTGCCGTCTCGGTCCCCTGATATCGTTCGGCGGGCAGTAACGTCGGTCGCGTGATTCTACCTGAACGCCGAAACGGAGTAACGACGAGCTCCGGCCGTGCGTTACTCGGCACCGCGACGGTGAGACGGCGATTCCGTGGCCAGCGTGCTCGCGCTCCTGCTCCTCTTCCGGAAAAGGACAGTCCGGAGTCCCCCTCGCGAGATCGTGAACGCAGCTCCGCACTGTCCCACGCATATGACGGACGTTCGCGATTTTAACGCTTTCCTCGCGCATCGGCAACAAGAATTGGCCAGATGAAGGTATAATCGTCGTTCGCGCTAGATTGAGACGGCGGGGCGAGAATCGCCAGAGGAACGAGGAATGCGCGAGATCACGAAAAAGAGCGAGACGGAGAGAAAGAAAGAGAGAGGGGATTACGTATCGTTCTGTTTGTTGTTTATTGTCAAGACGAGTTCTCCGTTTCCCTCCTCCTTTTTGCTCGAGCGTGTCGCGATGCCATTTAGTCGCGTAGAATTTTCACTCAGAAATCTATCGAAGCTTTGCACCTCGCGCAATTAATTTCGCAGTAACGTGTCTATACCTTTGTATACGTGCCGTTTGTTTTCATAGGGCGTTTTAACGAAACACGTGTATTCTTGTAAGAATAGGGATCAGGACTTAGAGAATTAAAGAATATCTTTCTAGGCCTTTACGAAGAGCTTTGTGCACATGTCCCTCACTTATTTTGTCTGCCATGTGTTTGTACATAAACATATCCTTAATGTTGTGTGGACACTGTGTTTTTGGAGCACTCATCCAGACACCCTGGGACATTTTTTAAGTCTAAAAGGTTTTTGAAAACATTTCTGTTACAAAAAATCTAGAAAAATTCATGTATTATCTTTAAGGTTTCAAAAAATGATAATCGACTGTGAACTCTTAAAAGTCCCCACAGTGTCCCCACAGGGTTATAGATGCCAGTATGCGTACTCTGGTGTATGTAGTAAAATTATTTCATAGATAATGTCAGATGATGACCCTGCATTGGACTCAATGGATACCGAGGAAGAGATCTTTGTTCCTCGCAACCACAGCTTGGAGGCGACCGTCAGACGGTCCAAGAGCTTGCGCAAGCTGAGGTCACATTCCGGCTCTAATTCGCACTTAACTAGAAACAATTTAAGCGTTCGTCGCAGTACACGCAATAGAATGCAGACGTATGACAATCTTAATACAAGCTGGATACTAGGTACAATTGAGATTGTTTAATAAATAAAGAACGCACCACTTAATTGTAAAGCGAAATAGTTAGCTTTTAACCACTAATGTACAACATATACATTTTCATAAATATTGCGCATATTTAGAACTGGAGACCGCAACTGTTTCAAATGTTTCTTAAAATTAACAGGGACACAAACTTTGAAAGGATATCCTATGTTTCAACAACATCCTTCTTCTTCGGACAAAGAGATGGTGGACGATGTCCCTGGTAGAAAACGTGATCTCCGAGACCGCATGCCCTTGAGATCTCGCGAAAATCATCCACCTAATAAAACTCCGACGAGGCATCTTAGGGACAGAACGGAACACGATCGACAAAATAGCAGAGAACTTCGAGCTAGAGCCGATCGTGACCTGAAAGAACGAACTGAGCCGGAAAAGGATGTCAGCGAACAAACGAGACCAGCGAATGAGGAGAAAGACACTAGGCATGCAATTTAATCGAACGCTTATACACGTGCTTAATGGAATTTAATATAACTGAAGTTAAAATGTTTCCTCAGAACGAGAAAGTCTGACAGTCCAAGCAGATTTCGAGAAGGTCCCGTAACCAGATTATGCGGAAGTGTAGTTGAGAAAACTGAGAAGCCCAAGGTGGAGCAAGAGGAGGCGGACGATGATAGCTCGCGCGAAAGTGAAAAGCCAGATAATAATGATAATGACAACTCTGAAAATGAAGACGTAAGTGAATTTCTGTAGCTCATTTCTCTACAGTTGAATGGCGATCTGTAAATTTTATGTATCTTTTATTTACATTATTTTCCGTTAGGGATATGAGGATATGTATACACGTATTAAGAGGACGAGGCGCACGGCTCAACGACAACTGCCAAGAGGTAAGGAAAAGTTTTAGGTTTGCCAATGCTGCTGCATAACAGGTATATTTGTTTTCTCTTCCAAAATAGTAACACGATATATTTATCTACAGTGGAGGATAGTGATCTAAGCGAATCTTCGGATTCTCCCGGGCCTAGAAAGTATAGTTTACGTCAAAAAAAGCCTACCGTAGATAGGTTTCAAGCTAACGTAGAGCCGGTTAGGCGTTCTATTAGAGCCCTTAGAAGTGTTCTCAGTAATTCAATGAGAAGAAGGAAGCATAGAAATAAGAGCACGAGTTCTGCCGACTCCACTGACTCCGAGCCTCAACGTTATGACAAGAAGAAAGGCAAAAAAGCAAGGTACTTGTATATATCATGAAAAAAAATTTATTGAATGATACGTTCATTAGCATACGTAAATATTGAATATTTTAAAGACAATCGACCATACAACAAGGCGGTCCACCCGATCGAAAAGCTGACATAAATCCTATAACGTTAGATACTAACATTAGATTTAGTGACGTCGGAGGTCTGCGAAAACACATTGAATGCCTTAAGGAGATGGTCATCTTTCCCATGCTGTATCCAGACATACTTGAGTGTTTCGACATTACTCCACCGAAGGGTGTCTTGTTCTATGGCCCTCCAGGTATATACAATATACCTTTTTAAAGTGCAGCATAATGGAAACTCGTTTTAATTTTTATGCAACTTGGAAATTTATTTCAGGGACTGGCAAGACACTAATAGCTAGAGCACTGGCAAATGAATGCAGTCAAGGCAACACGAAGATGGCATTCTTCATGAGGAAAGGAGCGGACTGTCTGTCAAAGTGGGTCGGGGAATCGGAACGGCAATTGAGATTGTTATTTGAACAGGCTCAACAAATGAAACCGTCCATAATATTTTTTGACGAAATAGATGGTCTGGCACCTGTCAGAAGTACTAAGCAGGATCAGATACACGCCAGTATTGTATCTACGCTCTTAGCGCTCATGGATGGTCTCAGTGATAGAGGACAGGTAATAGAAATAATTCTTTGATGTCTACAGCCTGATTTGAACCTTGACTTTTAATGTAAAAGTGCTATAGTCTCATATGGACCTTGGCTTTCATTAGTTTTATTACAATCGCAATTTTTTAGAAGTTGTAAGCTCTTTGTCCAACTTCCATTTTGGAGAACTGGTTTTAAAACTTATTTTTATTAGTTGGAGATTTGTTTTCCAAGGAATAATGCAATATATCATGGTTTATTTATCTCCAGTTTAGTTACTTTAAGTTCGTGTACTTTATTTTTATCATAACGGATTTTCCCATTTAATTTATAATATTAATTTAAACTATATATGTGGAATGGCAATTTTTTGGGAATAAAACCTAGATCTTCTGCTTGACAAGGGACTGCTCTAGCACTGAGTTTCCCAGCATCCTAAAAACGATGTTAAAAGGATTTATAGGCTAGATGTTTAAAATTTTCTAAGTTTTTCCTTTTTCCTTGTAAAAGGTTATAGTTATCGGCGCGACGAATAGAATCGATGCAATCGATCCGGCCCTTCGAAGACCCGGCCGTTTTGATCGCGAACTATGTTTTGCTTTACCGGCCAAAAAAGAGAGATTAGAGATTCTGAAAATTCACGTTAGTAAATGGAAAAAAACACCGTCCGAACAATTACTGGAGATATTGGCGGAGAAGGCGACTGGTTATTGCGGCTCAGACCTGAGAGCCTTGTGCACTGAGGCAGTACTACAGGCATTAAGGAGAACTTACCCACAAATTTATATGACAAACGACAGATTATTGCTGGATCCGGAGAGAGTTCAAGTACGTTTCGTAATGAGAGGAATAATGACTAGTATACAATTGGAATTTTATTTTAAAAGTTATTGATATTAATTATATTAATTAAAACAGGTAAAGAAACGTGACTTTATGCAAGCAAGCTCTATGCTCGTTCCGTCATCCCATAGAGTAGCTCCATGCGCAGGAAGAAAATTGCAGCCTTTTATGGAACCACTATTAGCGCCTCCATTGGAAGAATTGCTTAATTTAATCAAAGGAATATTTCCTCAAGGTGTAAATCCTGCAATGGCAAAGTAATTATTCCTTATATGACAATAATAAAATTGGTGATAAAAATACGTTCTTTTGAATTGTTATCTATATATCGTGGTTCCTTTTTATAGAATGAGGAATGCCAAGGGCATCTATCGTCCAAGATTATTGATCTCGGGTGGCAGTCTTTCTGAAGGTCAAGGACCTCATTTAGCTCAAGCATTGCTACATTGTATGGAACATCTGCCAGTCCAGATTTTAGATGTCAGCACATTGTTTGCGGAAAGTGCTCGATCCCCGGAAGAAACTTGCGTGCAGGTTAATATAGCAAATACACACAACATTGTTAGATTAAGCTTTTAAATTTATGTATTTATCTAAAAGTTTTAAAACTCCTTAATTTCATAATAACCAAAAATGACGAAAAGATATAATCTTGTATATTTATGATTTTTTAAATTTATATGTGATATGTACTTATTATTATCAAAGAAAGAAAAGTTTTTATTCCGCTAGTTGAATATTATAGATAAATATTAATAATTGTAAATTATTATAGGTATTTAACGAAGCGGTTAGAAACGTACCGTCCACAATTTACATTCGATCGATCAATCAATGGTGGCCCCTCGTGCCGGAAACAGTAAAAGCAGTTTTCTTGTGCCGTATCGCAGCACTTGATCCTTCATTGCCAATTTTAATTCTCGCAACGAGCGATGCAACGTATCAAGATCTCCCAAATCAATTAAAAAGCTTGTTCAGTGAATTACGCGGGGAGGTGTATTCTATGAAGACTCCCATCACCGAACAAAGAATGAAATTTTTCCGGCCCATTTTTATCGTTCAGAGTCTAAGACAACCACAGATCAAAAGTAACAAAGTAGAGGTTTTAGAAACACTGCCATTAGCGCCGAATCCATTGCCAAAGAAATTAACGGAACAGGAGAAGCGGATCATGTACGAGAAAGATGAGGTATCTCTGAGAGAGTTACGAATTTTCCTGAGAGAGATATGCGCTAAACTAGCGAGAAATCGACAGTAAGTATTGTGTAAATTATTTTCAGTCTTTCTTTTTATTTTTTACAGTCGGTCAGAGGGGGTTTAATGGAACGATGTGTTTCAGATTTTTCATGTTTACGAAGCCGGTGGACACGGAAGAAGTACCGGATTACAACCAGATAATAAAGCAACCTATGGATCTGGAAACGATGATGACCAAGATCGATATGAACTGCTACCTCTGCGCCCGCGAATTTCTCGACGATATTGATCTCATATGCAGAAATGCTCTCGAATATAACCCAGACAGGTCAGTAACTAAATTAGGAAGCGATCTTTCTGACATTTCTCGCCGGTCAAGGAAAACAGTCATACGAGTCTCGTGCGAGAATATCTCCGTTACAGAAGCAGTTATTGATATTATGCTATAACTTAAGGTTCTTCTCTAGCGATACTGTCTTTTTCTATACTGACATTCATATATTGTGTGTTTTCATGTCAGCTTACGTGATAGGCCTTCCCTCGGAATATTAAAGAGGTAGTTGAGCTTTTTGCTGTTTATCCGTAATGCTGTTATCGCTCCGTAGATAATAGTGGTTTTCAATTTAGAGCGCACCATAATCGTTGATGTTTTGCTAGACACACCATTATAACTAATTCACCACGCATCATTGAAGACCACTCCCATTAGTCATCACGCTTTCTATTCAATGGAATGCTAGAATATGAATTTTTTATACGCTGCTAACACGCTGTGTTCTCCTCTCACAGGGATCCTGCGGACAAATTGATAAGACATCGAGCGTGTTCCTTGCGTGACAACGCTTACGCTTTAATAAAAGCCGAACTGGACTCCGATTTCGAGGACAAGTGTCGCGAAATTTCGAAGACTCGCCGAATTTTAGAGAACAATTGTGATAATGAGGAAGAAAGCAAGAATTCCAAACTGGAATCCACTTCCACGGGCGAGCGAGCGGAGAAGAAGGAGTCTGTAAATTCTAGTCATTCTCTCGTCGTGAACGGAAAGAAATTCGGCAGTTCGAGGAAGCGTAAAATACCCGCTTGGGCGCGTGGCTACGTGAAGAAAATCCATAAAAAGAAGAAAATCGCTTTCGATGAGAGCGTCACTGAAATAGTCGCGAATAAATCGTTAAACAATGAAACTACCACTAGTATCGATTTAGAAAAATTCCAAGAATTCGAAACCGAGGCGAATAGCGTTTTGAATGGGCATATGGGGTTGTTCGACAATACCGATTCAGAGAATGATTCGCAAAATGAGAATTCAAAGGGGAGTCAAAATGGCACTGTCGTGGATCAACGAATAGATAATCTTCAAATGGAAATAAGCTTCGTGGATGAAGACAAGCCAACGATGAACGGCGATTCGAGTTCGTCATCTCGACGTGAAAGCATGGACGATTTGTCATTCGCCATCGAGAGCAGCGATACTAGCCGGGATAAGATTGAAGAAAATGAGAAAATTGTAGTTGATAAAAGCGAATTGGAAAATGCATGGCATTTTACGGTTGAAATAACGAAGGACTTTCCTGTCGAGGTATTGTGCGATATCTATGTGCAACTAAGCAGATGCGTTGGAAAATATGCTCAGAAATACGATAGAAAATCACTGCCAAAGGTAAATATACATTTTATTGATTATAAAAATTATAGAAACTACAGAATGATGAACAATATCAGCTTATCCAATTTTAACGTATGTTGACAAATATTGGTATACTTTTAGGACTTGCTCAAGGAAGTGGAAAAGTTTACAGAGTACAAGTCACAACGTCAGTAAAGTACAATATACAGGTATGACATTATGAAAGAAACTGCATGTTGCTAACAAGACAAACATACTACATTATTACGCCATTGCGATACCTGCAGAAGGTCTTTTTTTGTATATTTATACTGAATGCAAAACCGGATATTATCATTGTTGTATCAAACGGAACTTTGGAATGCTATATTTCTTAGTTATTCTACTGCCAACTTTTAGGTGAATAACAGCATATATCTACAAAGCAATTGCATTGTTATGTGACATAACAGGCAATTTTAGTTGAATATTGAGTTTCGAATAATATGGATTGGATTTTGTACATATTCGAAAAAACACTGTAAATGTCCAATCGAGTGATTATTTGATATTTCATACAAAAATAAGATAATATCACGACTCTTAATCACATATAGGGCTGAAATAATAAGAAAGAACGAATTAGATTTATTATTACTGCCGTTTATACATATACATCTTTTTTATAAAATTAATTTGATTTAAATTTAATAAATAAAATGCATATTCAATTATTCATTATAATTGACTTGATGAAATAATAATATTTTTTTTATCATCGTGTTTAAAACCATTTTTATTTTTGAGATTATATCACTTTTATATGTCATAGCGATAAAAGTGAAAAAAAAAAGAAATAAGGAAAAAGTAAGTAGCCAATCGCTAACATTCTTACATAATATTCCTTTAGGATAATCGTGGACTCTTGTTTGTGAACACTTGTACGAAAGATTTCAGATTAGATATACAAGATCTAATTAAAAACTTAATATCTGACAATATATAATACGTATAACACGTAAGATATAAGTTTTTAATTTAATCTTCGATAATTTAATATATGTATGTGTACTTTACATATATACAGACACATTTTGCAAAAATTATTTTTCTGTCAAGTTTCTACATTATGTTGATTATATAGGAAAATGAAAATATTAGAATTGGTACATTGTGTACTTAACTGTTTTAGCTAAATCTTTGTTAAATAAAGACATTATCATGATATGACGATCGTCCTTAATTTTGGATTATCGTCATTTTAAATATTTATGATAATCGGCATTTTATTATATTGCTGATGAAAAATTATTCCAGATATCCATCTTGGATTCGAATAAAAATTTACTCACACGTAACAGGGAAAGCCGAAATACGTATCGTGTATCATTTCTTTATACTTGTTACATATATATAAGATCGTGGTTTTTTCCTCGTGTATCAAAATATACCTCGTGCTACAGAATGTATCAATTCAAATTATTACTAGTATAAGATGGTATACTTGACGTATGAAAATGAGTAAATCAAAGCTTATCATCTGAAAAAATCCACATAAAGGGATTTAATTTTAAGATATAAATCACGAAAATTACTCCAAGTTATCGTGTTTAATCCCTTTGCTGTTAGACGAAAAAAATGTTTATGCGCCAAAAATGCTTTTGACAAAAAGAAGTTAGTAAAATTATTTAAAAAATTCAAAATAAAAATTTTTTAAGCAAATTAAACTATATTTTAAATGTTTTGCCAATCATATTGAATTTGCCAATTCTTGAATTTTTATTTTAAATTTGAAATCAGCGATTTCAAAAATTTTCATGCAAATCGAATAAATTTTTTTTATTTTTGATCCGCCATTGCATCCGCTATTTTAAATTTCGCAATTTTGATTTCAGATTTGAATTCAGCGACCCCAAAAATATGAAAATATAGTATCCCATTCTAATTGTTCTGATATATAAGCATCTTTTCTTGAATGTGCAGATATTTCTGTCATGAGCACTTTTGGCCAGGTTTATTTTTAGGAATATTTCCGTTTGACAATCAAGGGATTAAAGAGACATAAGATAGTGAATATTGTATATCTATAACAGAGTATTTTGTTTCATCAAAATCCTGTTACTTTTTTTTTCACTTACCGAACAATTGTTTCAGTTAAATGTGGTGTTTTTTTTGTGATGATAACTTTTGATCTTGTATTAATGCAGTACAGTTCATACGAAATAACTTAAGGTATATTCAAAACTAGTAATCTGCAATTTAAATAGACCAAAGTTGTAAAAAGTATAAGGTTTTACTCGTTGAAGATGGAAACAGGGCACTTAATATACACACACGTACACTACTATAAATATGAAATACCTCGATAAAAAAAATATATATATATTATATATATACGATGCAGTGGCGGCTAGTTAGTCATGTTTAGATCAATTTCGAAGGCTCTGAAAAGTGAATGATTTTATAAAATTGTAAAATTGATCGTTCGCGCATTAGATCTTCAAAGATGTTAAATGTCCGGATTAGGACTTGAAGAATAATAAAAAATCATTCCATTTTACTAAATTTTTCAGGAGAGATAAGTAATATCGGTAAAAATCTGAAACGGCAATGAAATAATTACAAAACATTGAGACTTCCAGTCGGTCTTAAGCACTCTTGAATATCTGGCCGTCGCTCTACAAAATATCCCAGGACTATCGCACCTTCTTCGATTATATTTTCTTTTTTTATTATGTCGATTCGATTATATTTTCTTTTTTTATTATCTCGATTCGATTATGTTTTCTTTTTTATTATCTCGATCTTTCAACCATCCTATTTTTATTCCAAAAGTGCAAAAAATTATTTTATTTTTACAATTCTCGGTTTACAATTCCGAAGCTATGCCTTGATTTAAAGAGAAAAAAAAACTGCCGTTCTTATTATTCATCAGAAATCGAGTATCACGCTCGATAAGAACTGTGACGATTCTGGGAGACTTTGTGTTATATGTACATGTATAAATATTAGCGAATATTTAGGGTATAACTTGCCTTCCCCAGATTCGTGTATTGGTTGTGACTTGCTGTAATTGTGAACGATTAGTTACCACAGAGGATGAAGCCGTATGCGACGAGACGAAAAGCTCGTTTTCACTTAAGCTGTCACGGACAGCCTCTGAAAAACAGATTCTCTCCAATAACCGTTTTAAACAATAATGTTCGGAGGCAACGTACATATATACAGGGCACGCGATCCATCCTTTTGCTGTTCAAAACCATACAATCGAATAGGAGCTATAGTAAATAAATTCTATCGATAAATCTCATGTGATCCACGAAGTAATATCTTTCTTAGGGATACGTTGTTGTTGTTAAAATGTGAAATTTTCGTTTGCAGGAGCACGATTAGGTGGGTAATCTACCGAGTTTTGTTAGTAGCGTATTCGTATTCTCGTGTCAGGCCGATACATTCGTAGCGAAAAAATTTTGTAGTTAGCGTAAATAAGAATTCGTTCCGTTCGGCGATTGGATCGTTCGTCGAAATTCGATTGTATTGCGAATTTCTTTAGTAAGTAGAATCGCGCGCGTCGCGCGAAAAGACTGAGGTTTAGAAGAAGGAAAAATAGGGAAACAAGAAACGCGCTTTTTTCCAGCGTTCCGTATTAATGCATGTGATGTACAACGTTCTCGATTCTCAGCCTCGATTGAAAACGAAGAAGGACGAAAAAGGGGGGGGGGAAGAAAAAAAAAAGATCGTTTCACGCGAATTATCACCGATAATCTCTTGCGACGATGGTACTCCGCCGACGGCGATCGTACCATACAAAGTATCCGGGTATTTGCCAAAGAAGCTAACGACAGATAATGCACCAGCGAAACTCACCCCGCGTACATAACAATTTACAATTGTTGCAAAGTGTTCAAGTAAAACGACGGAAAGGTCACACCGATAATCTCGCAGTCGGACGGATTGTGTGTACATACGATTTTTCTTCTAGCGATTACAAGTTTTACATTCCGCTTCGAGATAAAACGAATCCAAAAGGGACGGCCGCGTTCCGCGATTTTTACGTTTCTTGGCGCAGTATATTCTCCGGCATGCCGTCATTTCGCTGTACCACCGCATGAAATCCCACATTTATACGTATATACATATGTGTAATGTGTATAAACGATGCGTGTGCTATCGGATCGAGAAGTTATCTTGCAAACACTGCCGATTACGGACGAGCGACCACACTTATTTGTCTCTCTCTCTCTTTCTCTCTTTCTCTCTTAAATAACGTCCCTTAAGACTACTTTCTACGAAGAACGAAGTATTAAACGCGCTCGAGTTTGAGCTGTAGCATATCAGGTACCCGGCAATTTTTTCTACTGACGAACACACGCAGAAGTAGATGGTAGCCTTAAGAATTTAGACGCATTACACTACGTTATGAAAACATTACACGAAGTTATGAAAGATACGGACGAAAAGCGACGAGATGTATCCACTGCCTTATTTATTTTATCATATAAGTAATACATTTTATTGTCATATATTATAGTGAAATAAAAATTTCGTAATGTAACCGATCCGCCGGCGATTTATTTGCATCCCTCCTCGCCCGTTCCTTCTCATCTCGCAAAGGATTTTTGTACACTGACCGGCAGGAATACCTGGAGTGCCTGGATAGTTTGATATGGTGATACATTTTTATTATCTCCGTAGTGCGAAACATACGAAAGCCGTCGTATCGATACGGCAATCGATCCTTGTGATTTTCCGTCTGTTTAGCCGACGATGATGTCAGGAATAATGTTGAAATTGAGTAGTGGATTCTCATAACACCGAATAACATTTGCGTAAAAATTCCAGTAACGATACCGATCGTATAAGATCATTTCAGAATGCGCGAATAAATTGTGGGATTTGTATCGATACGTCGACCATAGTAACTGACATTAATTACAAGCAACAGAAGTGGAGATAGATCGGTTTGGTTCTTTTCGAACTCTTGAAAGAAGTATGTCCGGCGCGACGAAGGATTTCTCCTGCATCGGAGGGCTGGAGAAGCACATTAGAATCGTGAAGGAGATGGTCCTGTTCCCGTTGATGTATGGAGACGTATATGCTAAATTTAATCTCAGACCGCCGCGCGGTTTGTTGTTCTACGGTCCTCCAGGTAATGCCAAATCCCGTTTGAGCTCAGGATCATTCTTCACTGTTAAATTTGTACTTAGTGTCAAATTATACTTAATTTGAGGCATTTATAACCATTCCTATAGGTTGCCACTGCTCCTACTCAATATGTCGTTAATTTAACTAAAACAATGTTAATTTAATTAAACCAATAGATGAGTTAAAATAATACTGTTCTGTGTGAAAATAATAAATTTCGACATACGTGATAGTTAAAAATAACAAAATATTATTTAATTCAAGGTCTTTGTTTCAATTTCATCCTTTAATATTTAACACTGTTGCTTTCATTCTTTGTTAGGAACGGGAAAGACTCTCGTAGCCAGCGCATTAGCAACAGAATGCAGCAATTCCGAGCGCAAAGTCTCCTTTATTTCGCGCAAGGGTTCTGACTGTCTTAGCAAGTGGGTCGGAGAGAGCGAAAAGAAGCTCGAAAAGATTTTCTCCCTGGTCGGTGAAGTTCGATCTCTTAAAATTCCGTGCACACTTTAAGGATAAATGTTTAAATTTAAGGATCACTTTGTGATCTTTTTTTAAAACTTACAATTAGCTATTTTGAACAGATTGTATCATAAAATCGAATCCGCATGAAAAATCTTGCGTATCGGCTCGAGAGTGAGCGTTTCCCTCATCTTTAATCCGAAGAAATTATCGTTTGTTTTCTCCAGGCACAACAAACGAAACCATGTATCATTTTCTTCGATGAAGTTGACGGTCTCGCGCCTGTGAGATCCAGTCGGCAGGATTTTGTTCACGCCAGCGTGGTCTCCACTCTCTTGGCTCTGATGGACGGTCTGGACAGTAATTCCGAGATCATAGTAATAGGGGCGACCAACAGAATCGACGCGATAGATCCCGCTCTGAGAAGACCCGGCAGATTCGACAAAGAGCTGTATTTTCCTTTACCTTGCTACAGCGCTAGAAAAGAGATACTTTCGGTATTGTATCTGCTAGTAAAAAAATATCACAGATATATAAGGAAGAAGATAAAGAGGGAAAACGTTAACGTGTTTCCGTACGGCGAATATAGGTGCACATCAAAAGTTGGAAGCAGAAACCGACGCAGAAGTTCCTAGCGTATCTGGCGTCGAAAACATTGGGATTCTGCGGCAGCGATCTGCAGGCTCTTTGCGCTGAAGCAGTCATGTGTTCCGTTCGCAGAAATTATCCGCAGATTTATAATTCCAAATCCAAGTATCATATCAACGAACGCCACCTCAAAGTAAGCTGTTTGGTGACGATAAATACCAATTTGAAATAACAAACAAAATAAAATTATTTACTTTGCAGGAAGTTGACTTTATATGAAAATAGTATTTATATAAAATATATGTATACGTTTCGTCATTATATATTATTATATATTATTTTGTATATTTTATATTATTCTTATAAAATTAAACGACTGAGAGAAATGCTGATTTCTCGTCAAGGTAGAAAAGGAAGATTTCCTGAAGGCGCGCCAGAACATCGTTCCCGCGTCGCATCGCGTCATCGTCGCCCCGATCAAGAGTTTATCTCTCAGGATCCAGCCTCTGTTGCAGGAGGACCTAGCGGGAATCCTGTTGCGCTTGCAGACACTTTGTCCGGCCGGCATGCTGACTTCCGATAACATGTAAGTGTCGCGTCCCGAAAGAGGCGAAAATCGAATACTGATTCGCGTGGGACCGCAGTACAGGCAAGGCCACGTCCAAATCGAGCGGTTGCCCGCGAATTTTGCTGTGCGGCGACGACGCTCACACTCGTCATCTGGGACCGGCGTTGCTGCACACCCTGGAACACCTGCCGTGCCACATCCTGGACATCACGACGCTGTTCGAGGAAACGGGCAAGGCGGCCGAAGAAGCCATGATACAAGTAGAAACCACCTTACTTTCCTGATGCCCTTGGGAAAAATGTATAAGACGACAGTCGTTTTGTTATGATAACAGAAGATCAAAACCGCCCGTCGCACCCTACCGGCGTTGCTGTACATGCCCGGGGTCTTGACCTGGTGGGACCTGGTGGACGAGACGACGAGAGTGGTTTTTACCTCTTTAATGCGCGGTCTCGATCGATCGGTGCACATGCTCGTGCTAATGACCGCCCACTGTCGACACGTTAATCTGCCATCGGAGGTTGACATCTTTTTTGTCTTTTCCACACGTTCTTATTTCACATTTTATATATTTCTGCACATGTTTCGTATATATTTAATACGTCAAAGTTTAAGCGGTCACTTCTGGGCTTAAATGTGATCTTATTAAGTAAGCATATTTATCGAGATTTCAAAGAAGATTAGAGTAAGAATGTTAAAAGTAATATTTATAGAATTGAGGGCCTTCATGCAAGAGGGATGTAAGTCGACTTACATCTTTATTGTTTTTTTTTTTGTTGCAAAAGGAAGATAAGTAAAACTTACAATCTTATAGATTTGATGGACAACGAAAAGCGCTTTTAAAAAGCCTGCAAAAGCGTTTTCCAATTTTTTTGCTTGATTATTTTAGAAATAGGGCACTGTAAACCGGAGCTAAGTAAAATATGAAAAGAAAACAGCAAATTCACATACTTAAATCAATAAAAATTCGTTTTGGTTTTTTCTGAAGTTTTTATAAAATGGAAATAAATAAAAATACTTATTTTAACATATTATCTCAAAAGTATAAGAAAATAACATTTTAATGATACTTACATTCCTATTGCATGTCGACAGTAGTTTTGAGAAAAAATGGAAAAGTTTTTTTCTCAAAATGGAGTTTTCTGACTTTACATCTTGCATGGAAGCCCTCAATTATTCTAAAAGTAAAAGTAGCCCAGATAGAATCAAGCAAAATAGCAGCGTTAGTCTTTTAAACGACGGACCTTTAAATGTTGATATATTTGCAATACGTTTGCTCATAAGTGCACAATTATCGACTGCTTGCGCCACTTGTAACAGATTGCAGAATTGTACGACAATAATCGCGGCGAAGTGTACGAAGTGAGAACGCCGTCGTCGCAAAAGCGACGTTCCTTTTTCAAGCAACTGTTCAATGGAAACTCCGACAGTCTGTCCGATCGCTCCTCGCAAGGTAATTATCCATCTGAAACGGTAGCGTACGATCGTTAATAATAAATTGACTTCTAACGCAGCGGATCTGGCGTCAATCTTGTGCCCGAAGAAGCTCAAGGGCGAGACTAGAAAGCTGAGGAACCACGTACACCCTGCCGATTCCAGCGGATTACTAGGTACGTTAAAGAGTACAAGTTTTACGTGCAATATTTATCCCCTTGTTAATGTCCATCGTAATGACCTCGAAGAGATTAGCGCGGCACGCACGACCAGAAAGATTAAAACGCAATCGAAAGCGCGAAATAAGCTCGGAGCTGTACGGTCCTCGCACTCGACGTCTTCCAGATCGAGTAACTGCTAATTGACAATCTCATAAGTCCAACTTTCTTAGAATTGAGTTATCAACACATTAATGTTCATTTTTATCGCAGTTTAATTTTAATCTTGATCTAACTTACCATTCATCTTTTTCTAGTTCTAAAAGTTAAAAAAAGATAGAAAATAAGGTAAATGTCAAGTGCCTGGACAGTCGGCGGACACGTACCCGTGTCCTGGACACCTTTATCATTTTCCTTTATTATTAGTCCCTAAATAAGTATAACGCGAATTAACGTTTGAATACTACAAATAAAGTTTCAAAATACAAGAAAAGTATTTTCATCTTTGATTTTAATCAGTCCTGACAGTCCACTGAATGCCCAGGCATGGTACATTTACCTTAAGCTAAACCGAGATTAAAGTTAATCTACTTTGATAGAAATGGACATAATTGTGCTAGATCACAATGGATTTGTATACTCTTCTAAGCTTGACGATTCTTAGGAACGGCCGTCAAGAGAGAGTACAACGCGTCCGGCGAGGGCCCGCCGTCCAAACGGCAGAGATTAACATCCGGCGCATCTTCAGCACCGTCCAGCACCGAGAAGCTCTTCAGCTCGCAAATCGAGGATCTGGTCGAAACGATTGTCAAATCGACCGACGAGTGGCCGAGCCATTTACTGGAGAGCCTGTTCTCCTCCCTCGAACTCACAATGGAGAACAACGGGGATCTGCGCGCGACGGTGAATGAGTACGTCGTGCGTTACGAGGAATTGAAACGGGTGAAAATGCGGGCGAAGCAGGAAGAGGATTGATCACTAATTCGATGTAACGTCCCTTGTGAATCGTCCATGTGATGTCTGAATTTGTGAAATGTAACGCACCAGAACGCAATAACCGACACAATGACAAATTCATTAAATGAAATATTGTGGTGTAATAAATGACGCGGTGAGAGACCTGTTTATGTTAAAGAATATTCTTCGTACATTTCTTTGCAATCTTTTCGCTAGCAATGGATGAACGTGATCACCTTGCGTGATGTCACATTTTTTATTTTATTTGACTGAGGTAATATTTTTTTGCAATAAATTTTTTACAGTGATTTTAATAAGGATGCTTATTAACATCAAAATTTAAATCAATTATCGATTTAACACTATGTGGATTTACTGTTCCAACAAAGAGCTGTTTTAAAGACCGACGCGCAGTTTACTGAGTTTGGAAAAGTAAAATTCACACAATATTATTATTAGGCTACCAAGATCCGTTTTTCTCTCTAATTGATTGTATATCACGTCGGTCCTGTTTCACTTATTATTATTATTTAAGGGGGAATATGCAGTCAGAGGCGCAAAAAAAGAGGGATTTTCTCGAATTTTTTTTACGTAAACGTATTAACTTTTTTATTCAGAAACTTTTACATGATATTAATATATGTTTGACGAACTTTTTGTATTTTTTTTAGTAGAAAATAATAGTTATTATAATTTTGGCGAATATTTTAATACAGCTCCTAAAAAAAAAAGTAGCATCCCGGTGGACATTATATCTCGAGACAGGATTATCTAAAATAAAAAAACCAAGAAGATTTCGTTAGTAGATGACTTTATCTTCCGTGTGAACGAAGGATTTCGAAAAAAATTGAATTTTGAATTTTTTAGAGAACTTTGAAGTTCGAGTCACGATTTTTACTAAAAAAAATTGACCATTTCATTTTTGTAAAACAAGTTCTAGTCGTTGAAAAAAAAATCCTTCGTCCACACGGAAGCTTAATATGTATAAAAGAAATGTGTAAAATTTCAAAAAGATCGGTGCAGTAGATTTTGAGATATCGTGTCCACCGACTTCAGTATGAATAAAAGCCAAAATTATTCGCCAAAATTATAATAACTATTATTTTCTACTAAAAAAAATACAAAAAGTTCGTCAAACATATATTAATATCATGTAAAAGTTTCTGAATAAAAAAGTTAATACGTTTACGTAAAAAAAAATTCGAGAAAATCCCTCTTTTTTTTGCGCCTCTGACTGCATATATTCCCCCTTAATTATATATATTTCACTGTTATTTAAAAAAATTATTTTAATTAAATGGTAAATAAGAGATTTATCATAGTAATTAAGTGATTAAATAATATAACACCGAGATAAAATAATGAACATCTGATTTGCAATTAAAGCTGAAATTTAAAAATATGAAGGTTTATTTTAGAAATATGTAATATATCGACTTTTCACCGGAAAAAAGATTGAAATGTATTATTTATATTTTCTTGTTTTATCCCCGATAACTCTGAAGAACGATTTTTAGTTTTACAATTGTTTTTTTTTCGGCGTTAAAAATATTTGTAAAAAATTTGGTATCGCGATGCCAATTATTAGAGCTCTATTCCGCCAATTGCCTTTGATGCACCGATTCGACGGCCGTCTTTTCTCTCCCTTTGTGACTCATAAGATCGAATCGGTTTCTCCTACTTGAGAGGGCCGTGGTAGAGGGGCCCGACGATGAGGTCCACAGCGAGCTTATCAGTTAGCGTGCGGCTGTGCAATGCTGTGTATCGTGTTGCATCCTGCATCTCGAGTGTTATCGCGCTTCGCGGAATCGCGAAAGTAACGTGCTCTCTATTTCGAAGGAAGCGAAGCGGCCTGATCGTTACATACTAAAGCCGGCGGTGGTGTATCGCCGGAAATTCTCTCTCTTTCTCTCTCTCTCTCTCTCTTTTCACCCTTCCCTCATCGAGGCTTTTCACCGACTCGTGCGTGCGTGCCGAATGCGTGACAACGACAAGAAGCGACGAGGAAGTCACGCAAGCAACAACGGTAACGCGTGGACGTTTTTATTCCGCCACACGCGATATTACCACGGTAGACGGATCGATCTTTTAGCGCGACTTTAATCGTGGCAATCCTTCCTTATTCCTTTGTAGGGATTGTCTTTTATTGTTCGCGTAGTGTTCAAATTCTTCTAACGCGATGCTACTGGAAAATAAAAACAGAAATTGATGTTTTTTAACAAATATTTATTACAAACATGTAGAATGTTAAAAATCCTAAAATATTCTAATTTTCTATAACGTTGTATCTTTCTTTCAAAAAAATAGGAGCGCCGCTAATGTATTACCTAAGTGCTAGGGAAAACGACATTTTGGCAGCAGTACTACTCTTAGAAAAATTGACTGACATACATAGTGCGCGATATTGACGAAGACGACGAAATCAGAAGAGGAGTCGTGTAAACGAATGAGAAATTTGTCTTTTTCTCTTAGAACATCATGTACGTGAACTTACATATTGTAACTTTTGTAACTCTAACCTGACACAAAAGAAATTTCTGACGAAACGTATAAGAATATAAAAATTTATATCTATGGTTATAGTAATAGCATATGTATATAAGCATACATATAAGTAGGAATATAGCGAAATGAGACGTCTATAATCGACCAGTTTTAACGGAACCATACGATTAATGTGACTATTGTTACAAAACGGTTACAAACGGTATTTAATCGCACAAGCTAATGAAACGCATACTCCCTCGTCTTCGCCAACCGAAGGTTGGCAGCAGTCGGGAGAAAAAGAAGAAAAATTCAAATATATAACGTTTAGACTTAAACCAGTAAGAATATAATTCGTCTTTTCTCTTATTGCTTTAAAAAATTTTTAATTTGCTAAAATATAATCAACAACAATGTTTATATATCTTATTAGAGTTTTAGAAGCTCTTACTAACCCTTGTAGCAAGAGTCGATAACCGAACAAGATTAACAATTGCGAATTATTCACATTCAGATCTTTTAACATCAAGAATAGTTTTCAAACATCTTTCTATGCTCATAAACAAAACGTTTAGGATTTTTATTTATTTACCATAAGCCGAAAGTCTTTGTTTTCGAAATTGCAACTTGATATATCACACTTATTCAATTCGCTTGAAGTATTACACGTCCTTTGTACAGCTCATTTGTTTCAATAAAAAAGACAACGCAATAGTGAAAATGATAAGAGTAAGAAAAGAAAAACAATTATAGAAAGTTTGCTCTTTTTTGTCGATTTTATTCATACACACACGTGTGTGTGTGTGTGTGTGTGTGTGAATGTGTGTAAGATAAATCAATACTTATATATAGAAAAAAATACATAACATATGCTATAATATCACGAATATCTTTCTTAAAATTTAAGAAAATTAAAAACAACGTAAAAGGAAAATAAAAGAATATATTGGCACGTTCGTTGCTTGGTCTTGAACATATTTAAGGAGTCGGGTCTCCAACGCTAGTCAAGTTTTTGCTAATATGTTCAGTCTAGCACAACAGCTATTTCGTTGTCATTGGCTTTCAGTTCCGTAGTATACGGCGACCCGTCCGATTGCTTCCACGTTTCGAAGATATCCTGGTGAGCACATACCGCGTACTCTTCCAAGTTGTTATTAATTTCCGGTAAATCACTGCAGAGTTTGATCCCGTAATGGTCCAGATCCGCCAAATAAATACCCAGCTTTCTATTGAAGGAATTCGCCAGGAACTGATACTCGCTCTCAGTTATGGTCATGAATGACGGACAATCGGACGGTCCGAAATTCGTAAATACAACGTCGCATTCTTCCGGATAAATAGTCGGCTCCAGCTGTGAAGGCAACGTGTTGCTTGCAGCATTTTGTACCAGCATCTCTCTTTCCATACGATTAGGCGACTCGTGATTGATGTCGTTTTGCGTATTTCCTCTCATTATTCGCAGCACTTCTTGCACATCATCGTCAATGTTCGAATTAGTTTTCACCGACTCTGTTTTCTTGTGAAGTCGAGATAAAGAAGGAGCTAAACGTTTCGTCGCGTCTCCGTCAAAACCATAACTTTTTCCGTTATTAATAATTATTTCCATGGAATTTATGAAAGAATTGGTCAATTTAGCGGTTTCTTTGGCCCCTGCAACTTCACCAGACCATCTGATAGAGTAGTGAGGGCTTTCGCTGGACCAAGAATTTTGCTTGGACATAGGTGACGTTTTGTCGGATTTCTCCGGCTGGCAGGCGAGAAGAACTTTGTTGTCGTTGAATGAAATTTCGTTTTGACAATTTCTTCTTTCTCGCTCGTTCGTCGTTGACGAATTTTCCTTATCGCGGATGTCTATGCTATCGGAAAAAGTTTTGATAACCATGTCAGCTGTGGTTTCCTGCGAAGCGAGATAACAACGATCTTCCTGTCTTTCGCAAGAACTGTTGCTATCGGGGATTGCGTCTTTATATGGCGTATTCGAGATCTTTTCGAGACTCTTCCCCACCACAACCGTGCGACTCGCTATCGCGTCGCCTTTGGTAGACGCAAATTTACCTACAATGTATCGATTCGCAGCTTTGTCGGGCCGTATACCGTGTTGCATGTGACTCTCGTCCACAACATGGTTCGGGAAAGACAAATCGATATTCCCAGCGCGGTTATCTTTTCTCTCGGCTCCCTCATTTTCGAAGGAGCCCGGAGTTTGCGTGCAAACGTCGACGATATACCCGAGGCTATCCTGCAGCTTTATGTACCTCCGATCCAGGCTCACGTCCGTCGTCGTCACGCCGTTCAGTTTGAATTTCACGCGTACCATCCCTTTTTGGCGACTCCTTCTCTGCCTGAGCCTATTCTTGTGCGTCAGTCGTTTGTGGATCCTTAGATTGGAGAGGATCTCGAAGGGTATGTCGCACACGTCGAATTGCTGACCGCCGTCGAGATTTATCTTGTGGTGGTCCAAGATGTCCATTAGTGATCCCAGGGCAGCGTTGTGCCGCCATCGTGTGTGCAGAGCAACGTCGCTCTCGCATTTGAAGGCTCTACCGCATATCCCGCACGTACTCCCGACGATGACGACGCTGCACTCACGCAGAGTCACGTCGGCGGAGATGCGAAAACCTTTTCCTTTCGTTTGCACCTCGGCGATGCGCATCCCGTCCGTGTTTGTCTCTCGCGATCAAGTCCAGTCTCTTCGACCGTCCTACCTCTTCTTGCGCCGCCGCCACCGCCGCCGCCGCTCCCGTCGAGCGTTCCCCTGCGAGTCCACGGTCGCGCGGCGCGGTAACTACCGCGGTGACTCGTCCGATAGTCGCCGGTCGCCGGTACTTCGCCTGTGTCAGCAACAAAACTTCGCTTCGACTTCGTCCTCGGATGTGGCGCCACCTCGTGCAACGGATGTCACGCGATCTGATATCTGATGTCTCTGATGTTCAAACAAAAACAATTCGTATCGTATTGTTGACATATGTTATTCGTATAGGGATCAGAAAAAAAGGATACGGTGAACCGTTACCCGAAACGTATTTCATAACACGTTATGGATCCTGCAGACATTCCCGAGTCTATTGTGGCTAACAGATTCACAGATAATAATCTTTAGCATGTTAGAGTTAGTCAAAATCACCCAGATAGCAAAACGTGAGTGTGCAAAATTATGCAAACGTATTACGGAGAACAATTTATGTATTGTTGCCACAATGCGTAAACATGAATTGTACTTGAACCGTTGCAACCGTTGCTTGAAACAAATTCAATACGTGTAAAAAGCTGCGTCCGCAAATACTATTGTTAGGTATTTGCGGACGCATCTTTTTACATGTTATTACTGCAACGCTCGTTATAAGTTCATGTATATATTACGCAAATATGACAGACGTTTTGCTGTCTGGGCAGAGATTGAGGATTGAAAGCATTCCGTGCAGATATGAAAGTTAAATCGGCTGCGAGCTTCAATTGTTCGTTAAAGCGATATGGTTTACGTAAAAATGCTGAATTGTTAATCAGAGGGCCTAAAGAAAGCAGTCTAACAAAACAAAACGGATGTAGGTACGTTTATTAGTTAACGGTATGTCAGCCTTGAATTCCGTCTTCTGTCCTCGACCTTGTAAACTATGTTTACATTATTTAAGCCTTGGGTCGACGATTCTAAAAACAGTTCCGAATTCTCGGAACTGTCGGAGAAAGACATATAATTAAAAACTCGCAATGGCCTCGGTCAAATAACCTTGGTCAATGGCCTCGGTCAATGGCCGAATTATTTAAATGTGACTGGCCAATTTTTTCACCGTCCGAGATCTCGGAGCGATCGTAGACACAAGGCTTTACATTTATTTATTCCTATAATACTTTCACCTGATTCAGATTGCCAGTTTAATTTACACGAATAAAGTGTTGTAATGCTCTAATAATTAAATAGCGACCGATATGTGTATAACACAGAATAAATATTGGCGTTTTCGATCATCGATCGAAATCAGAAAAAAATATGATATCGATAACGTAATAATATTCATAATGATTTGATTATAATAAATATTTAAATAATCATAGAATTCAGAGTAGCTATCTTGTGAGTGTTATCTGTCTTTTTCTTTGTATATATTTGTAAACTATTTTTTCCTCAACATTGTCAGAGACGTCAGATTGAATAGTCCAATAATAATACGAATTTGATGAGTATTTACAAATATTGATAACAAAATTATAATTATAGAATTATAAAGAAAATATCAAAGATAGTTATTAGTTATAGAATTTACGATGTATATCCTGTCTCAATACTTAACAATATTTGATTGTAATTTATTACGCGATTATCTTCCTCGGAGGACTGACACTATTTGAAGAAAAATTTCTACTCGTAACTATTGTTTTCTAGCCAATTAAAAAATTTAAATCATAGTAACATGGAAATTTTTATAATGTTTTAAATTAAGTTTGGTTTCGTTTTCTTTAAATGTATACATACCTCGTACTGAGATGATATTTATTTCGCCCGAGCAAACAAAGTAAAACCTCAAAGAAGTTGTTATAAACGTGACGCTGTCATCAAGACTGACCGGATTTTCGTACCTTCACTTTAGACGAAGCTCAAACTTTTCGTAGGAGGCAGCAGGGAGGATGGTCCCTCTCAGCGCGCTGTCGGCAAGAAAACATACAAAGAAACTATTGGCAACACCGCTCGCTTAAGACAAATATTGTTCTTCTGTATAGCAATTAATTATTATTATACGTGGTTTACGTGATTACGATGTTTACGTGTTTGTATATGACCCTGCCTACCTCTTGTACTTAGCTCGTACTTGTACTTAGCTTAGTAATAAGGTAACTATTTTCTTTTATAACTCGAAAACTAATCTTTGGCAAAAATTTTGCTACAGGAAAAATCGTCTCAGAATCGAGTCAGGAATCTGACATATGCGAGACAATAGGGTTGTTCGAATCACCCTGTATATGCCAATAAAATTGTCAAATTTTCGAATCATTAAAAAAAATGTTTTTTATTATAACGACTGTTACAGAAAGCTGCTGTGAAAATAATATTGTGTTTATAATTCTTTATCACATCTCATCTTAACCGAATTAAAAAGGAAGAGCTGTTACTTTAAACCGCAATCTCTATTCGACTAAAGATTACGTGAGGAAAAGCAAAATACGCAAAATTTGATCCACGTTATCTTCGCACGTCGTTCATGTATATCTTTTTTCTAAGTTATCATTCTGGAACAAAAGAGTATTTCCCATGTCCTTTCGCCGAGGAGGCTTGAGAATTATATTCTTTCGAAAAATGATCGCTGAAATATATGCTCTCGAAAAACGATTGCTGAAATATACATTTTGTCCTGTTTGATGCTTAGGTATGGGGGAGAAGCAGTGCAATTTATCTTTAAAAGATTAATAACACCGATCGATATTACTGTGTGTGAAACGCAACACGAAACTTCAACACGCGATAGTAATTACGTAGGCTCATCGATTCCCATTGGATTAACCGTCCAAATCGGATTAAATTTGAATCTTTTTTTTTTTATTTCTCTCCAAAAGATAATCCAAAATAATCTTGACCATTGATTGCCAATCGAAGTTCGCAAAAAGTAAAAAAAAAAGACTATATATATTTATCAACCTTAAATAAAACACACGTTCTAAACACGCTTCTCATTTCACGGCTGTCTCTTTTAACTTTATATCAATTTTTATACTTCTCAAAAATTTATAAAAATTGTATATTGTCAAAAATATGACTCACCGATCCTGCCAGGATTCGAACCTGGAATCTTCTGATCCGTAGTCAGACGCGTTATCCGTTGCGCCACAGGACCGTGTTAGAACCCGTTTCTTCAATGTAGCTTCAAATTAAAACATATAAATCTATGTATGAAAGATAATTTACATATATACGTACATTTATATATTACATATATTTTACATTGTAATGCTTCAACATTCAGAGAGAAGATTGAAGATCATTAATATCACATTTATAACGACTTCGATCAAATTCTGATTAACTTAATTGGTGATTAATTCAACCGGAAGAATTTCAAAACTTCGAATTGTACAATTCGTTGTCCCTGATCTAATCTTTCTTTCCATACGTTAAGCAACAAAAAATAATTCTATTTATCTTAACAAAATAGCATAGATATTTGACAAGTTAATCACCGATTAAGTTAATCGGAGTTTGGTCAGAATCTGCACTCCAATTTTTTTTCACTAAACTGACGTCTCGCATTAGCTAACATATTTTTCGAATATCTTCCTTTATAAATGCCATTAAAAATTGAAATTTCTTATATCTCTTTACATCGAACATCTGGGGATTTACTCTAAAGCATAACAGATACCGTGTCAATAATTATTTTCACCTTGAAGTATCGTCGCTGTTTCAGATTTATTCGGTTGCGGCAAATGTATCTGCAAACATGGATATTCGCGATAGCGCATATAATTACTTATGCTCGTAAGTATTCTTCGCAACAATATTACGAATTGAAACGTGCAACGTTCACGAAACTCGTGGTGTCATATTTCTGTTAGAATATACCATCGCCAAACGCGGATTATGCAACGGCTACAAGTCTGGCGAGGATGATCTTCAGACATTCGACTTTATTAGCAAGCTGAAATTGGATCTGCTAGATGCCCGTTACAACGGCATGACGAAGGTTCGGGGCAGCAATCGCATGCAGACTGCATACCGGCTGGAAAGAGACACTGATGTCACCCTCCCGACGAAGTATTCAAATTAGTACGCGTAGAAACAATGGCCTGGGCCGACTTGGGTCACGGACCCTGATTAACTCGGTCTCGACGAATATTTCTTACCAATGTAGATTCTTACCTTAATCTTTATTTAACTTAATTTTTATCTTTTTCTAGTTCTAAGAATTAGAAAAAGATCAAAAGTAAATTGAAACAAAATTAAAATTAATTTGCATTGATAGAAATGGACATAATTTAACTGATAGAATGGTTTAAAGCAAAATTTTTAATTATACAATTTGTTTCGTCCAACCTACTGTCTTTTCCATGTATCAAATAATGAAAAATTCTATCCACGTTAACAAAGATGATAATCGCCGATTAAGTGAGTCAGAGTTTGGTCAAAATCATCCTTAGTTGGCACGGGTCCTTTGCAAAGTTTACCATGACTTCAAAATAGTACCTTAAATGTTCGCCTATCCGAAATCAAATACTGAAAATTCTTTTCGTCTAATTAATGATTCTTCAATATAGCCTTTTGTAAATTTACCCGTTGAAAAGATATCGATTAAGGAAAATTCCGATCTTCCTTGCACGTGCGAATTCTTTTCCAGGAACATCACACCGAACGGGCTTTCAGAGGAGTTCTCTTTGGTGTATACGTTGAGAGCTAGAAAATCACCGAAGTATCCTTGGCACATCATTAAGATCGTGGACGCGAAAGGCGACGCTCAGCTTCTCATCACGATGAATTCCAGGAAGCGAACACTGGATTTTTCATCGATCGACCATGAGGGAAAATTACAGACGGTCTCTTTCGTGAATGATCGCGTGAGTGTCGTCAACCACATCCGTCATCATTCTAGAAGAGTTCGCGGATTGTTGCGCGTAATGGTCCACTATTCCTAAAATAAATGCTTGGCATTGTTGCCAAACGGGCTCAACGCACTTAAACAGCGAAGACAAAATCGTGGAGAATTATCCGAATTGATAAATTGTCGATTATCTAGATTTTCTCTTGCAAAAGGCGACATTCCAGTTTCTTTCTCTTTGCTAATTGTAAGACACTGTACCGCCCCAGATCGATGATTCTAAAGTCGAACGCGCCCCAATATGCGGCGACAACACGATGTGGAATGTATCGGTCGTAAATCCTCTCGAGTAGGTCGTTTCTTTAAAAAATCATCGAGGAGAGAGAGAGAGAGAGAGAGAGAGAGAGAGAGAGAGAGAGAGAGAGCCGGAGTCGTGGTCGTTAAAACGATTTGGCCGATCACTTATTTATGCATGAGTGTTTCGCCCCACGAAATCATTACGTAAGCGTAAGCTATTGCGTGCGAGATGCGTGCCGAGCCGCGAAAGTAGGCGCGTGAATTGTATCGTCATGCCATTACACAGGGCAGATGTAACGGATGTAATATGTCGGGTCGTTTCGTGCGCAAATGCCACTTCAAAGAGCCTTGACGATTAGAAATCCTCCCGCTCGCGTTATAGAGAAACGAGTCTCACGCTCCTCGGCGATACTGCGATAAGAGAACGTCACGACGCGCTCGGGGTCTTTTGATCGATGAGATTTGCGATTACTTAACTGCATTTTGAAACAGCATAGATTTATGCGATAAATACGAAACTTCGCGGCCTCTCGGTAATGAGTCTTAGTTAAAACTCATTTGTCTCTTTCTACATCATTATCCTGTCTAGGATAATGTATATTATATATGTATATTAAGAAAAAGACTTGATCAATTGCAGCTTGCGTCATTGCAAAATATGTATGATTTCTTTTTTAACAGGTGTTCGACAGGGGTTGGCACAAGGTAAACTTCGGGGTGTTCAAGGATAAGCTGGTTCTTAACGTCGACTGCGAATTCGCTGGCGTGGAAGATCTAAAACCGCGCGGGCCGATTAAAGTCGATGGGAACATATCGATAGCCAAAATGAGCAATAGTAAGATAACTGTACCGGTAAGACCTCGTTATAATATCAATCAGATTTGCATTCGAAGCTTGATTATCGCGCTATTTAATCTACAGCTTAACTGTTTGGATCGAAAAATCCTGAACGAATTTTGATCCAACCATCTATAAACGCTGACTTACATGCATATCTAACATCCCCAAATTGCATCGTTATTATGTCATTGCGAGGAATGCACTGCTTCCAGAGATGAAGTTACGTGTCGGCCGTCACAATTAACTGGCCCGCTACTTAATAACTACCGCTTCAAATAGCCTGAAACTGTCAGTAGGACGAGTTGAATTTAATATTAGACCTTTTGGCCCATATCCAGAATGCACACGCGACGACGTTATAATTCTAACGAATAGAAATATCTTTGTTCATATGAAAGAAAAACACAAAAAGGTATACATTTAATTAAATGTCAGTATGAAATTCTAAGATTTTAAATATATGTCTATTTGCATTGTCTTCAGATCGACGTGCAATGGATGGTTCTAAACTGCGATCCAACGAGACACGAGAGAGAAACGTGCGAAGAGCTACCGGTAAGATCCACATATTTCGTCAAATTTAACAGATTCGCGAGATCTGATTAGTGTAATGTACGTGACCGTAGAAGACCATAGCCGCAGCCTCTCTGCTTCAAATAACACCCAGCTGTGACACGATTTGTCCGCAAGGACCACATGGATTCAACGGTACAGACGTAAGTCCTCTCCTTGTTTTATATTTGTAAAATATTTGCATATCAGACCGTGAGTAAGCTTTTTCAGCAGTTTAAAAGTGAAATACTAATAAAGTTTAGTTTACGACTAATTATATTAATCGTATAAGATTGGACAAAAAGGTTCTAGGACTGATGAAATAAAAATCACAATACGTAACATAGAATAAAATAAACGTTTTTTAATTTTTAATATATTCCCCAGAAACTTGTATACATTGATGACATTGCTTGATAGATCCTGGAATGCTCTTTGTTATGGACATCCTCGAAACATTTTCTCTTCACAACAATAAAGCCTACAGGGTCCAAATCTGGATCTTCACAATGATACTCGAATGCGCGACATTGCTGGCAAAGAAAGGCGTGTTGGAACATCTTCCCTACTCGCCGGATTTGGCCTCTGTGGATTTTGTTATTCCCCAAATTGAAAACCGCCTCGAAGGGAAGACGTTTCGGGGACTTCAAAGACATTCAAAGGAATGTGACCGCCGAACCAGCTTCTCTTGCAACACATTTAAACAAGCATGATCTATACAAGCGATGTCATCGAAGTCGCTAGGGAATACCCAGGTAGCAATTAATGTCTAAAAGACATCATAAAGACATTTTTAAGATTTCTGGCATCTTAAAGACATCTTTATGATGTCTTTTAGACATTAATGCTACCTGGGTATATTGAAAATTTAAAAGCGTTTATTTTATTCTATGTGACGTTTTGGGATTTTTATTTTATCAGTCCCAGAACTTCTTTGTTCGACCTTATAATCACTAAACAAATAAACTTAATATATTTTCTATTTATTAAATGCTATGATAGTTAAAACTGCATACATTTTTTAAAATTTTCTTAATAATTTCCGAGATCGCGTTGATAAAGAAAATCGTATCAGGGATTGCCCGGTCCACCCGGAGCTCCGGGATCAATTGGTGCGTCAGGCTCGCCTGGATTTCCAGGTCCGCGTGGCCCGCCGGGAGAACAAGGAAGAACAGTATGTTTCCTTATTTATTCAAAAAATTATAATAATATGTAAATCATCCAAATAATATTTACATTTACAAAACATAGACAGCATGTATGCATACCATAGACGTATATTACGGGTATGCAAAGAAAGAAATGTAAGAAATGTATATTATCAGGGAGCCCCAGGTAACACTGGTGCCAGAGGTTTTCCGGGATTGCAAGGTTCAAAAGGAGCGATCGGACCCGCGGGACCGTCGGGATTACCAGGATCACCAGGACGAAAGGGTGAAAGAGTAAGCTGTTCATTGCTCTTTTGAACTTTTTGGACATGATTACATGTGGCTAGAAAATTTTTGTATAAGATAAATAGCAGTAAAATAATTAATTTTTCAATAGGGGGATATGGGATTTCCGGGTTTGAAAGGAGATCAGGGTCCTCGAGGATTTCCGGGTCCGCCAGGGAATATGAGCGATTTTCTTTATCCTGTTGGATCACCAGGATACAAGGGTGAGAAAGGTGAACGGGGAGACAATGGTGTTCAAGGACAGCCGGGTGAGAAAGGTACATTACGTTATTCCTCGGAAAGAGAACATCAGATAAGTCTCAATTAAGATAGATCAAATCCGCTTGTGGAACGTCAAACACGCGTCCGACGACGTAATTCGATCTCGTTAGAAATCGAGTCGAGATGTATAATTGCGTTATTCTGCATATAGCGAGAGAGTATTACGAAACGGATGTCCGATTAATGCACTCGTTGTCATCGTAATGTCTAAATCAAAACCGTCTAATCTCGATTGTACCAGTACTTTATGTAATATGTAATGCTTATTTTCAAGTTCTATCTATGAGTATAAATTTACTAATGGAAAAATATGAGTAATTTTTAAGGATATGCAATACGTATATACGGGTTGAAAATCGTTAGATCAAAATTTATCATTTTTGATCTAACGATTTAAATGGCGCTCTTAAACGATTCAAGCGGCGCATAATATTCCACGTATCACTGACCCAGATGCGCTCATTCGCAGTCATTGTAAATCAATTTATCGCAATCTATGCTCATCTATAAGTAATTCAAAATTATGTGCTTACAAGTACCTCAAGTACCAAAGTTAATTGTTCAATGTAGAATAGGAAATTTTATTATAAACATTTCAATTTCTTTTTGTTTTTTTTTGCGTTATTCGTAATCACAAAACTTCATTTTGTACTTACATTATGTACATTATTAGCAATAAAGATTATTATTTATTAAATATTTAAGTGATTGACTCAGGAGAAAAAGGGGGTGAAATTATTAAGAGAAATATAAAAAAATATATTAATTAGATTACTATAAATAATTTTAGGCGAACCTGGAGACAAAGGATATCCGGGATTAGATGGATCTCGCGGTCGTGACGGAGCGCCTGGATTGCAAGGTTCCCCCGGGAACAGAGGACAAACGGGATTACCCGGCCTTCAAGGTCCACCAGGCCATAGTATAAGTGAGGCAGAAATTCGCGATATCTGCGCCACTGTTCTGAGAGGTAATTTTCATTGTTATCGTAGACATTAAATTTAATTGAAATTGAATTAAAATTTAACTAATCCTCCAATCGTCGACTCCCTTCGTTTTCGCTGTAAAGATATATAAATTAAACTAGTTAAGTCGATTAAACTCCAGGTAACTTTGATGAAAGTGGGGTGACGGCTGTATCTTATTATAAAACTGCGCATGAGTGGAAAAGACAGGAATATGTGCGAATTGTGATGTGATTTTTTTCCTTGTTATTACCCATATGCATACAGAACAGATGACCGAAATGGCAGCGCTAATGCAAGGTCCGCCGGGCCCACCTGGCCGAGGTCGTCCGGGCCGTCCTGGATCACCTGGGGTCCAAGGTCGTCCAGGTACACCCTTCGAGTCAGAATCATCAATTCCCTGCGCTTTTTTCTTGCGTTCGGCACGACAGATTAATCGCGTTAGAGATCAACTGCTACTACATGGATTTTCTTAGTTTATAGAAGAATCTTGGATAAAATGGGACCTAACTCAAGAGATGTTTGTCAGGCGACAAAACCGAGCGTCGTTGTAGTAGCATCGCCATTTAAACGCTTGAAGTATCACCGTCCCTCGTGTCCCTAGAGCTATAACGTATGCGAATGGCGTAATTCATAGTATTCATACACGTGGCACTTAACGCGGCGTCGCGGTTGCGCTCATAACAATAATGATATATTGGCATGTGTCGCAGAAAGACTGAATGAACTAACAGAGGGTCTACGAGGGCTACCCGGATTACCGGGACCGGCTCGACACGGCCGTCCCGGTCGAGCCGGAAAGCGGGGCATCCCAGGTACCTATCACTCGGAACCAAAGCAATTCTCTGAAACGTCTGGAAAATAGCCTGTTTGGACTAATGGAACGCTTTTGTCGTGCGCACGCAGAAAATCAGATTAGTCGAGTAATTTCATTAGCTTAATTCTCTCATCATCGGACATGACGCTTTTTTAATGCATTAAAGCGGATATATCTTTTTTTAAAGCAGCACACGCTTTAACATTATTGACAAATGTTTGATTATACCTTCAGTTTTTATATCTGTTCTATTCTTTATTTTCTATGTATTATCAAAATGGAATCTTATCAAAGACCCAGTTTTTTAAAAAAGATGCCCGGATAATGTAAAGAAATTAACGCATGGCGCATTCATATTTGATATCAATATTTGATATCAATTTTTTATCGCTGTTTGTACGATATCGTAATTATTTCGTGATTTAATTCCGATTTTCGATCGTTTAGGCGACCCGGGCCCACCGGGTTTACCAGGGGAACGTGGATTCGTCGGTTTACCTGGCTCGCAGGGTCCCATCGGTCCGCAGGGACCACCTAGTGAACGTGGAGAAAAGGGGGACAGAGGTCCCGAGGGAATCGGTTTGGAAGGTCCGCCTGGTCCACCGGGTCTATCAGGTTAAATTATGTTACATCAGTAAAAGATTATTTAAATAGATAGCAATGAGAGATTATTACATTAGATCTTAGGATGGCTATATAGCAATCATACTACCTCTTATAATAGGGCCTCCTGGTAATGACGGCGTTGGTTTACCTGGAAGACAGGGAGATAGAGGTGAACCAGGCAGACCAGGTAAAAAGATTATTATATCTAACAAGAGAACCTCGCAAAGGCAAAAATTCTGATTTTGATAAAAAACTTTACACACATTTAAGGAGAGATGGGGTTAACAGAATCTAGAAATTTTCATTTGCGGCCTAAAAATGATTCTAAGGAATGAAATCACCTCTCATATGTTGAGTGGTTTTTTACTTTTCTCAATATACATGTCTCGAAAGGATTTTTTCCAATATAATTTATGGAATAATTAAGATCTCTACAATTTGGGCATTGCAATCACTTTATACGCAAGATATTGCACCAATTCCGTAATTTTGTAATTAAAAAATTAATTCTGTAACTGTTAACAGGTGTTCCTGGTGCGAGGGGACCGCCAGGAGTGCAGGGACCGCCCGGATACTGCGAATTCTGCAATTATCCTGGCAGCAATTACCTGCACAATCGTGGCAATGAGAAAGGTCCTTAATCAGCAGGAACCAATATTTCTATATGCGTAGCAGAAGGAACGTTGCGGAGAAAGATTATAAAACAAAATTATCATTCGATGTATCTTCTGACATTGAGCGTTTTTATAATTTAGTAACATCGAACTGAAAATCTCTCACGACGAAGCACTGCCACGTAAAGCTAGCGTTTCTCTAAATTACAATTTAGCTTACTTTGATCAGAGGTTTCTCTCTGCTTTGATGTATTATTTAATAAAGCTTATTGCTTCTTGATGCGTAATTAAACCGAGGGTACTGTCATCTCTCTCGCTGAATTCCTGGAATCCTGAAGTAACTCGATCGCTCTCCGCGCAGTCCATGCCCGCGCCTTCGCGGATGAAGGACGAATCACGAATCTCACGAATCCCCGCGGAGAGAGATTTCGAAACGGTCGCGAGGGTCGCTGCGGTCTGCATTCCCCGTGTTCCCGGCGTTCGGAGAGAGCGCGATCGGACGATCGGGCGCGCCACCAGCGGGCCGTCGGGGAAGATCCAGCGACACGGCCAGTGATGGCCGCGACGTGCGTCGGATCGGGATTCGTGCGGCGGGCTTGTTTACCGTGACGTCGTTCCCGGCATCCGGGGGTGAATCCGCGTCTCGTTCCGCGCGTCTCGTTACCGGGATCCGCCGTCCGCGGCTCGCTCGGGTCGGCGGCCGCCGTCGGGGTCCCCCCCGCGTGCACGTGCCGAGCGTATATCGACCGCCGCGCGAAGCGAGTCGGACGTTCCGCGGCGTTTTGTCAAAAACCGCTCCCGCGGCCGTCCGTGTGAGAGAACGGTCATACCAGGTCATACACGCGAGAGCGACCGCTCGCGGATTTAACGATCCGCCGTCTCGTCCCCCCTCGGCTCGTAACCCGGGTGTCTCTCGCGGGATTTAATGACGGAGCCGGAGCAGCGATAGGAACGTCCGTGAGGGAAGGCCTTCCACGGGCACACGGGACGACTCCACGCCCCCGTCGGTACCCCTTTTTTTTCTCGCCGGAGACACGCGCGCGGAGAGCGCCTCAGGTAGGTAGGCAGGTAGACAGATAGGTAAACCGACCGGTAGAACAGGTTAGGTGCCTCCTGCAAGGCTGCCGCGAGGTCCGCTCTTTTGATTTTCGATCTCTCTATAATCTCTCTCGCGATTTTTCTTCTCGAATATATATATTTATATATTTTTTAAATATTTAAAAAATTTTTTTATGTATTTCCTGCCGAGTATGCGGAAAACACAAAAGTGACACGATTAAACTCGTCATAATTCGACTTAGGATTGGAGACACAATCACTTAATTAAATCGCTACAATAAATGAAAAAAATAATCTATATATGTGCACACATATATTTATAACTAGAATGTCCGTCTATATGTTCCTTAAATCCTCAACTCTTAAAATCTTTGACCTACGAAAAATATGTATCCATGAAACCTGAAATACCCCACTCCCTTCCCCTGATTTCATCCCCTTGATACTTTGTGATATATCACTATAAATTAATTCCAATAATTTATGATTTTTACATTTCCACATAAAATGCTGATGTTTTAGGTATAAGAAGTCTGAGTAATTTAAACTAATAAATTGATATGTGAGATCGGCATTCACACAGTCAGATCTTATATATAAGATCGTCTTAAGTTTATCTTTAGATGCTGTACGACTCACATGAACTTAAGACAATCTTATATACACATATAAGATCTGACTATGAATACCGGCCATAGTCCGTTCTTGCTCTCAAGTTGCTAGTACGGCTCTGACTGTATACTTAAAAACGGCCTTAAATATAGGAACCGACTGTGAATATCATCCTAAAGACTTCATTGATACGCTAGAATTATCGACTACCGGAGTCCGGCCGGTCTTTCCACTTGACCGCGAATACCAATGCCGTGCTTTAAATATTGGCGTCTAATTGCTGCTCGAACGTATAACGATTTACCAAAGTGCCGAAATAATTTCGGTGTCCGAAATAGAACGTCGATATTTTGTGGCGCCCGGCGCCCCGTCCAAATCCGTAATATGCTCGCGAACTCTCGAACTGATGAGTATTCGGAACGAGACAGCGTTAAGTGACAGCTTGATACTGATAGGCGCTGAATTATTGATGAGTAACCGCGAGGCATCATTTATTGACATGCCATCCGACTTTGAAATTGATCGAGGAAATTAAGCCCGTACTTATTCGATCGACGGAATATAAAATTCAATTTAAAGAAATAATATAAATAGATTGTTGGACTTGGCGCCGAACGTAGCAAGACGAGAAACGAGAGATTATCGTTTTATCGTTTAATGACGTCTCGCCGATTTAACGTTGAATTTTAATTCGCGAATTGCGTGCTTGCGTTAATTGAAGAACATTTTTATACCACACGGCGAATCAATCGAGAGGAGACTCATCCTCTCTCTCTCTCTCTCTCTCTCTCTGCTACGCCAAGGACGACTTTGATCGAACCTTCGTTAACTTAATCGGCAATTATATTATCGATCATATTAAATGAGAATTGATTATCAATTTAACAACATCGATATTAATTCGTAAAAATATGTTGCGAAAAATATTACTCCAGGGGTTCGAACTTGTCTCCCAAGCCGCGCAAGCGCGCGGCTTACGAAATTCCCCGCGCAAACAAATCGGAGCTTTTGTTGCTTGCTTATCACCGTACGTTATACTTCCCGTGTTTGCTAGTAAAATAAATCGAGTATAAAGTATAGAGTTCAATTCAATTGAAATCAAATAAATACGGTCGAGATTTTGAAAAAGAGAGAGGAAAAGTGCAGGAAGCTAACTTTCAGGATGCGAATGGTATCGCTCTCTGAAGGTCGATAGAAAGCTCTGCGAGACGAGTAATCGAACGTGCCCTCACCGGGTGAGAACACATCAAAACATCCCGTATATATCGTCGTCGATACCGTCCCCGATCGCCGCCGGTTTCGATTCTTCTTGTCGTTTCACGGCGCGGCTCCGATCGTCGCGTCGGCTCCAGGCTCGGAGAAATTTTCTCAGCGCGCTGAAGTTGGCCGCGCCTCCCGGTCGCTCCGTTTCGCGCGTTCCTTCAAACGCGCCCGCGGCCGCCAGGCGTTCCTTTCCCGGCCGTTCCCCCGTTTCTTCGGCCGATCTTACGTTTCCCCCCACCTGGCCCACTTATCGTATTGATTCAAACTTAGGCATCCGCGTTTAGTTCCCTCATTCTGCCGAAGCCATCGGGGCCGATTATTCCCTTATTACTTCCTGATCGGTCCATTCCGGTCTGCGATCTCTCGAGCAATTGTTGTCGCGAATAGCTTGAGCGCGGCGACGCGATGCTCGACGCTGCAGAAAGATAAACGCTCGCAGGGCATTCCTCCCTATTTCCCAGATCTCTCGAAAGGCATAAACATTCCTGAACAATGCATTATTATTATTTTCATGAATAATATAGTACTTAGAAAATTTTTAGATACTGAAGATTAACAAAAAAGGGGAGTATTTTTTATTAAATTTAAACTACTAAATTTCTTATTAAATTTCTCGTCAAAATTATTTTAAACGTAGACAATATAATTGCGTTAATTTAAAGATAATTCTAGACAATATATTGGGTTGGCCAATAAGTCCGTGCGGTTATTTATAAATAACATTTATAAGTAAAAAACCGCACGCGGACTTATTGGCCAACCTATTAATTTGCGTTAATTTCAAAATAATTCAAGATAATATAATTTGCGTTAATTTCAAAATAGAATTCTATTTACAATTTTATGAACCGTTAATTTTGACGCATACTTTAACATGTATTTTATATAAATTTTACATATGACATTATAAGTATAAGAATTTTAATCCGAATTATAGGTCATTTAAAATGAGCATACACAAATTTTTATCTCAAAATTAGCACCTTTAATTATCTGAATTATATCGTTTAGAGAATGAGCTTGAAATAATTTTAACGAGAAAATTATCAGTAAGACATTGTTATTAGTTAAATTTAATACGAAATAATTAACTGTTTTTTTTTTTTCAATCTTCAGCGTCTAAAAATTTTCCAAGCGTCACGAATATTATTCATGAAATAATGCATAATTCAGGAATATAGCATCACAAATAAATTATTTACGTTGTAAAATTTAGCACATCGATTTGGACGCAAAGAAAAATAAACGCGAGGAGCACGGAAGAAATCGTTGACCGAAAAAGTAACTCTCGGGTGACGAACGGTCGGTTTTAAATCAATTACATCTTCGGATATCGATGTTCCTCCTTAACTAGGTCAATCGTTTACGTGAAGCGGATTGTATCATCATGGTTGAACAACCTTGAATTAATTCTCTTTCCGAAAATATAGTCTTCATATATATCCTCGCAAAAAAAAAGTCTATAACGAAGAGTCTGCCGTGGCAGAGGCTAATATTAACTCCTTGTCGTTCAAACTGTCTCTCATGAATGAGTAAAAATCAAGTAGTTCATTTTCAATTTAATCTAGTACGAACGTTATCAAATATAGTAAATAATTATACTGTGTAATTGGCGATACTCTTCTTTCAGGGTTGTTCCAATCTTTAAATATCAAAGAAAAAAAAACAATAGATGCCTGATTATCTGACACAAACGTTCGAAGTAAGAAGCAATATGCATATTCGACAGATTTTTTTACAGCATTTTACGCAATAGTATCGTAAATTAAACATAGGTATAAATTTAGGTTGGAAGATGCTCGCACATTGATGATACGTGGCGCGTTTCCTTAATACAAATACATGGCGCGTACTGTCTAATCGTTACTAATTAGCTCTCTCTAGGACGTCGTTAAGTCGATGATGAACAGTCTCGTTCTCATCACGACGCAACTGACGCGTCCTACGAGCTACGAATTAAGAGCAGCTCCGGCAGTTGCGTGTCTACGCGCGATGGACGAAGTGTTCCATCATCAATTCGCGACGGAATGTATCTACTTTGGAGCTAGAGCTAATAGAGAATGTAATGAGGCAAAGTTAAGTGATGTCGCAACCTCTTAAAATATTCTGCGGATATTTTACGAGCGCTGCTAAAAGGTCAATCTTAACGAGTAATTTTGACGAGAGCCGTCGCACTATTCTGACGACGAGAACGCACATTAATATCCCATGCTATTTGTCTCATTCGAAAGAGAGTATCGCGTTAACGCTGTCGTAACGCACGCATAGCTTACTGCGGAATATTTGTTAAAGAATTACCGAGGCAATTATCATAATGAATCTACGATTAGTCACTCCAGCGACCTTCGCTTCGCGCGTACTCGCCGATATTTTATGCCGCGCATAAATTTACGGCGAACTATAATAAGGGGAAAAAAAAGAAAAGAAACAACGCAGTAGATCCCAAGGATCGTTGCAAAACAACATCCGCTACAGGCGGTCACGAAGACACGCGCAGGGAGAATCGATGAGGAGACGCATCATCCGCTCGTTTTTCGCAGTGAAAATGGCAGAGGAAGGCGCGGGTGGATCGGGAAACGGGAGCAGCGGCGAGACGAGCCGTTTGCAGCTTCTCCAGGAGATGCGACAGCAGAACTTCGACACCATACGATTCGCGTCGTACCGCACCGCCTGCAAGCTAAGATTCATACAGAAGAAAGTGCACCGTGAGTATACTCCCTCATCAGCTTCAGTAAGCTTCAGTCAGCTTTTACGTGTAAGCCTTCAAAAGCAAAACACACTCTGTGAAATGAAAAATAAAAAGAAGTAAAAAATAATTATAAAATTGTACGCTCTGCTACTAGAATGAAGAAATTTACAAAGAGCAGAATAAATCTGTTTGGTTTTTGAGAGGCTCATACGTTGCATATAGTTTTAGAATGATTAATGGGGCAAAGTTCTTTAAATCGCTGCTAGGATATTAACTCAGAAACGCTAATTTTCTCACACTTATACGACTATGCTAATGATAATTAACATGCCTCTTCGTGTCGGCACGTCGGAATTTAAACAGAACGCTGGCGCTCGCGCTTGCGTTAATTAATCTTGTGTGAAGAGATGTTAAGGTAAATGTCAAGGTATGTACCTTTTTAATAACGCATGCATGGTTTTGCGCAGTGCACAACGTCGATATATGGAACGTGATTGAGGCATTTCGAGAGAACGGTCTGAACACGTTGGAGCCGTCGAGCACCTTAGGAGTATCCAGACTTGAAACACTACTGTCTTCCTTGTTTCACGCGCTGAACAAGAGAGTGCCGGTGTCGCAACAGGCCAAAGTTGACGCTACCACGGCGTTGCTAATGAACTGGTTGCTGGCTGCTTACACCAGCGGGTACGCTTGATGAGATAAACAATCGAATCGTTATTTCTAACACTGTTTGTTAACCGTTTGTTTCTTTAATTTTGTTAAATAGTGTTATGTAATTGTCGGCTATATATCTAATTACCATGCGATTTTTTTTCAGGGAGAACAATAAGATATCCGTGTTCTCGGTAAAGGTGGCCCTGGCGACGTTATGCGCGGGAAAGCTCATGGACAAATTTCGATGTAAGCCTCGCAAATAGTTTCCTCGCTCTCTTAATGACCATTGAGCTTAAGTCGATTAACGATGTTTATTCTACGAGCAGATATATACTCGCAAATATCCGACAGCAACGGGCACATGATACACTGGAGGTTCGCCGATTATCTGAAAGAAGTTCTAGCTTTAACCGCGGCGGTCTACGAGTCCCCGTCGTTCGGATATTCCGACGGTCTCGCTAACTCCATTTTTCCCCCGGTACGTACGCATTGCACGTATGTGTGCAAGCTGTTCTAATACATTACTCGACTAAACGGATAATGCCTTGTATGCGGCAGAATTCCAAAGTCACTGTAAACGACTTCCTGGACACGCTCATGTCGGATCCTGGACCGCATTGCTTAATCTGGTTGCCGTTGTATCACAGAATGGCGGCCGTGGAAACAGGTGGGTTGTGCGAGAAATTAAACACGACGAAAATTGACCGGCGATCGAGATCTTACGTTATCCTTCGTGTTTCCAGTTGCCCATCCTATTATGTGCGACGCGTGTCACAGGGAGAACTTCACCGGGTTCCGATACAGATGTCAGAAGTGCCATTCGTACCAGCTATGTCAAGACTGTTTCTGGCGCGGTAAAGTTTCAGGGACGCACAATAATGACCACGAAACAAGAGAGTACAGCAGCTTCGTACGTATTTTTGTTGTTCACGTACTTTGAAACATTTTAAATCTTTCGTTATTTAGTTTTCAATAATGTAATTTTTATCAATAGAAATCACCAAGCAAGCAGATTGGCCATTCCCTGCGAAAAAGCTTTAGATGCGTCCCCGAGAAGGGGAAGAACAGTCTACCGCGATTCCCGGAACAACCCGAGAAGACGCTAGATCTGTCGCATATAGTGTTAGTATCTTTATCGTTGCATAACTTTATACTCGCTCGTTGTGTCTCGGCATGATTTTACAATCCAAATAAATTCACTACGTTCCAGCCCACCGTCACCTTTACCATCTCACAACGGTTTTCCAGATCCGGGATTTATGGCCCCCTTTGATTCAGGATCGGTGGATAGTCGTTCGACTCTGAGAAGGTAAGCCCGAGCGAAATTATAATTTATGCACAATTTATTTGCCTTTGCCATTTGCGTGCAGACGCCATGCTTTACTTATTCCTTTTGTATATCGTCCAGTATGGACAGTTCAAGACTGGACGATGAACATAAATTAATAGCACGATATGCACAAAGGTTGGCACAAGAAGCTAGGACCATGGTAAGTCCTTTAACATTTTACATACATTTTACGCTTACTATCTACACAGCCTCGCGTTGTAATTTGCTTAATGTTAAAGCGCAAGTGTTCTTAATCCGTTAAATTTGCAAAAGCCGCGAAAGCCAATTAAACTGTTTTACCGTTTCCATTATCGTGGCCGCTCTCTAGCATTAATATTAATTTCATAACTGCCTCGTTAACAGCCTCGTACCGCGTCCAGAATGTCCCAGGCAGATCAAGCAGTAAGTATACACCGTTTAGACCACCGCTATGAATTTACGTCGCGGATTATTTTACGCGGGGCGATATTTTTGCTTACAGGGTCGAGCACCATCGGATATGAACCTGGCATCGTTAGATGCGTCGCGGGCGCAGCGCGAGCTTATATCGCAGTTGGAGGCAAAGAACAAGGAAATAATGCGCGAGATAGCAAGGTTAAGGTATACCTGTGTCGTTTATATTCCTTTATATCAAACCTAAACCTCAATTTCATCCTGTTTACCCATCCTAGGATCACGCATGTTCAGAACGTTCTGTTTCGCTTTGTGTCACCTTGGTTGCATAGCCTGCACAATGAACAAAGAGAAACAATACATATTTATATATTGCCGATTACCAGTGACAAAAACTGTGTTCCGATATTCACTGTTAGTATTGAAAATCTATAGTTTACGTTACGTACAACTATAGATTACGTTAGAAAATCTATAGTTTACATTATGTACACTATAGATTTTTAGTACTATCGGCAGTGACTATCGGAATGCAGTTAAAGAGATTATTCGCGTTCAAACAAGTTAACATTGAGCGTTCTTGATATCTCTCGAATTGGCATACATATTTATACATATTGACTACATTCATATACAACTTCATTTAGACATTCATATACATTCATTTAATATCATAATGTATTGATATATGAATCTAGTGAATATCATACATATTCACTAGATTCATATATTAATACATTAATACATTAATACATTCATATACAACTACATTAACCACACATCACAACGCTTATAAAATGAATCGATGAAGTGGAATATTATCATGTTTTAAGATCGTGTGATATATTCTACTTTTTTATGTTAAATATCATGTCTAACAATTCCTCAAAAAATCTTTCATTCTCGCTACAGAAGGCAACAGGAGATAGAAGCCGCGGGTTTGGAAAATCCGGCGTTAATGTCAGAATTGCGAGCTTTGAGGCAAAGAAAGGATGAACTGGAGACGCATTTGGCGACGTTACAAGATTCTAGGAGGCAATTAATGGTACAGCTGGAGGGTTTAATGAAAATGCTAAAGGTATCTTTACTAACATTTTACACAAGGCTGCTTTTTAAAAAGTTAAAAAAATTAAACGAGTTTCAACTCAATTCTCTGTCTCTAAAGATAAAACTTGATGAAGAAGGAGAACCGATGAAATGTGTGTCACGGAAATTATAATACAGAAAGAATACTGTTTCACATAAACAGGAACATAATTAGTAACATAATGCAATTTATCTCGATAGAATCATCAAGCATCACCACGATCAACACCAAACAGTTCACCACGAAGTACGAAGTCGCCGCCCTTGCCACCCGGTGTCATACCGAGCAGCAGGTCGGCACCGCCGACTCCCGGCGGGCCCTTGTCTACGACACCTCAACAGCAGCAGCAGCAGCAGCAACAACAGCAAATGCAGCAACAAATGCAACAACAAATGTCTCAGAGCTATCAAAATCCCGTACCGACAACGACAGTGGCTAACGTGCAAGGCAACGCTATGCTCGGCACGATACAGAATCCCATTCCAGATAGCTTATCGTGCGTTGGCGGCGATGTAAGGTAGGCAAGCATGCACAAAGAGAGAATACATTATAAACGAGAGGATAGAACCTTCTACAGCGCGAAAAGAGCGAAGCAAAGAGAGAAAATTATAAATAGAACGAATATGCGTGATACATAATTGTACACGTGATTCATACATACAGAATAATATATTACACAGTCAGCAATTTATTTACTTAGACATTCCAAGCGAACTTTAGAAATCTATGTACATTCCATGTACATAAAAATATATTCTAACAACGTAGGTACATAATTAGATTGTGTAGCTAAATAAATATTAATTATATCGATATTCGCAATAATGTAAAATAGATATCCTATTGAAAATAGTAGTTTTATACCACGTCGCATTGGACTTAATCCTTCCAAATTATTGTCGATGAAGTAAATGATTTGTATTGTAAAAGGAAATCAACTTTGAAACACAAACGCTCGAAAAAAGCAGGTTCATCACTTATATATAAAATATATACCCTGATCATATGTTTATTAAAAAATTGATTTCTCCCGTCGATATTATTGTAGCAATTGAACATAGAAATATTGCACAGTATACGATTACTTCACAATTAGCTAAAGAACTCCTAAATTATCCTGCATGCGAATATGAGCGATTTCTAATTAAGCTAGTATTAAGAACAATGTGGTACTAGCGCGAAATAAGTGACAGTACCTCGTAAGATGTTACTTAAATCGTCAGATTTATATCGACCTATAAATATATATAGTAGATATATTTGTATATCCCATGTCATGTCGCTTTTAACCCTGTTTAAGTAATTTCTTTTAATTTTTATTAGGTTCAAGATGTAAGTTTCTTACATGAATATCCTCTTTTACTTTGCTATCATTATTAGTCATCTTAAATGTATCATTTTTTATGTACAGTATAAAAGCAGCTATCGTGTAAGGAAAGTACTGATGCGTTGGATATAAGTTTGACGCGTATAAGTTACCCATCCGATCCTTCTTTTCTGCTAAGCTTGTGTAAAACTACCATCCACCTTTTAAACATTGTTATTATTTATTACGCAAGCGTTGCGATATGTAAATATATCCTGCAAGTACTGTAACGGTCAAACGCGGCAGATATCTTAATAGATCGGAGACGAAGCATTTTTGCGATGCGTTCACAACTTTTGCCATATTGATATATTTTTGTTAGATTACAGTATATCATTACATTTTAGACACCAATAAATATCGTAGCTTCCTGAAATCGTGCATGTGTGTATTGTTATAATCGATGAGTTGCTAATTTTAATTTGAAATTTTATTGACGCTTATATGTCTTGATCGCGAGTAATTATAGCGAATTGAATGTGTAAGAGTTACGTTAAGCGGACTGAATAATGCTTGTGCAATAAAAATTGCATGCTGCAATTTTTGTTTAAAGAATTTTTTATTTGGAAATTGCTTCGCGCCAAGAAAATAGAGATTTTCGATGTCAGGTCTGCGTTCAGGACAAACAGCTTACCAGGGAGCGGTTCCAGCAGTGCCAATAATAGTTTGGGCCGATCCTTAAGAAACGACTTACTGGTAGCTGCCGACAGCGTTACTAATGCCATGTCAACGCTTGTGAGGGAATTAAATTCAGGTATGTTAAATAATAATGCGCTATATAAAATCGATTAGTATCAATAATAACGATTGATAAATTGGACGTAGATGTGTAAAAGCGGAACTTGATTTGAAAATATTCCTCGATTAAGAATATATGTTGGAAAAAATTGGGAAGAAAACGTGCGTAAATAATGTACGAGGGATTTTTAGAATTTCCAAAATTATTGTAAGAGTTCCATCAAACCGACGAAAATTCGTCTGACAAAGCTACGTCCAGTTGTGCTTATAGTTTTAAATAGTATAATTACACGATACCACTCAGCCTTTCCGTGATAGTATGTCAAACTCAATACATAGTTGGTACATAAAAATTTCGCAGAATATAGGTATTACTATCTCACACAATCAAAACTGAAGGTAATTTTTAAGAGGCAATAGCGCCTCGTCGTGAGTTATACAGATCAATTTGATATTGCAAGCTTTTAGCTACAAAGTATGTTAGCATTTATCGCCGTGTCTTAGCTGATGGCATGTTAGTAATACGGATCATTAAGCGATTTCGTTATCAGTGGACCCGTAAATATGTCAAATTCGATTGTCTCGGAGGCGAGGTGAGCAATAGATAAACTGATCTGCATTCACCATATTATCGTGAAGTAGTATCTTTACAACAAAACCATATCTATACTAATACTACACTATTTATTACTATTATTGCTACTATTTTTGCTCCTGCTACTCTTATTGTTATTACTCTCACTATTACCACACTGCTGACAGATGTACATATTAACTAGTTTGCGTGTTTCATGCCATTTTATAAGAAACGTTTCTTCTTCACCTAATCGTTCTAAACATCTAAACATATAAAACATATATATTTCGAATTTTTCAACACTATATGTTAACTTCTCGCACACTGTATGTATACCATTATTTTATTATTTTTAATTCGATTTAAAACTGCAAGAAACAATACGATGCAGGATTTATCTTTCAACTACTTGCTAACATTTATCTCTGAAATATTCTCAATCATCGCATTTGAGCTGAATGTACAGGCATGCCACGTCGCATTTATATTCTCTCGTGTCATCAAAGGATCATATAGCATGAAAAAGATGCGACTCTTCATCTGTTCCTAGTCTTGATATTCATAAATGATCTATGAGATGATCCATATCAAATGCTGTCTATATGTAAGAAATTTCATTGGATATACTTGAATCGAACTTGGATGCACCTTTATGTATATACGTTTGTATTCTGGAAAATCGCGTAAGTACAACATTCATTGCAGGAAGATGAATAATGATCGACGTGAATCCTATCGTTTCGATCGTAAAATATCGAGATAAGTGACTCTTGAGTCTAGTTTTTCACAACATCTCTTGCATTATACACAAATTTTTGTAAATTTTTAATAATATAACAATGACTATATACGCGCGAAAAGCATAGATCTTTTGAAAAGATGTAAATACAGAAATATACATATGATCCCTTATTAAAACTATTACACGTTCTTCCTGCAGTTATGTTCGTTTTGATACAAAACTTTTTTTCCTTAAACTTGATTGGAAGTCATTATTTAACAGGACCTCGTTATTTACTTGCGCATTTAAACTTTAGTTTTAATCGTACTTAAAATACTATTATTTTTTTCGAGATTTTAACGATTTTCTTTATTTATATTCTAATATCTAATGGTCGAGGGAAAGTACAATATGGGATACTGTGTATATTTTCTCTATACGGTTGGTTTCTAAAATGTTTGGTATAATTTAACCGCATTCTACTAAACAAAGTAACGAGAAAAGTTCATATGAATAAATGCCATAAACACGTCGTCGCCAGATACAAACCGTACGCACGAACTTTTCTCATTACTTCTGTTAGTAGGGCCAAGGGCTAAAATTAGTCCGAACGGTTGGAAAATACACTGTGTATTTGCCTGTTACCATCTCTACACGGTTTCATTTATTTTCTTTCTAGAATAGAGTTAGTTAATATTAGCCTAGTGGAATAGCACATGGACTACACTACACGCCAGGCCACAGATGACAGCAACAACAATCTAATCCGCAATCCCAAGAAATTCCCAATACACATTAAATGTTACTTTGTACAGAAAATTTCGAGACCTGGACTTGTAGACTAACAAACTCGTAACTTGATACACAAGTGTAAAATAAAAAAATTAGAACTCAAAATTATCTAAATCTTATATAAGAAAGCGTTACACAATAAAAAGATAATTAGAAATATAGATAAACGAAATTATAAATATTTCGATATGGATAAGGACATATGTACAGTCTGTCTAACAAGAACGTGACCGGCAAAACTTTTGTTTGGAAATTGTTACATCAAAAATTCAAATAATCAGGTAATGGAACTTTCCTCCTGCGACGTGTCGTAGAGATCTCGGTTATTGTCCGACTTTCGTGAAGGAACGAAACTGTGTTTAGCAATTCGAAGTCGTCTTCCTTTTGTACGCATCAATAAATATCGCAAGAATCGGCCGTAAAGTACATAAAAAGTGAATATGTAAAAGCCATTGTAAGCAAGTGACTAAAGTGGTTTGAAGAAGCAAAAATCGTCGATGATCTACTTCTACTAGAACGTAGAATGTAACGATAGATAAAGATAGATAACGGATTATGGAGATGTTTTCTACCATGTTCTTCCTCGACCAGCAAAATTTAAGAAAAAGAGTATAAACATATCCTGCGAAAGTTGTCTACTCATAATTTGAAATTCCAATAAAAAAATTTTTTTCCGAAAGATACGTCTAAAAAAGAATTGCTCGAACGCATGCAAATATCAGTTGTGATTAGGGCAATGTTACCTTCTCTAGTGGAGCTTCTTTTTGGCACAAACTGTTAGCGGCTCATCTTGGTTTATTCCCAACAGACTTCTCCAGCAGATCGTTATCGTTATATATCTGGCAAAGATTTGGGACTATTTCTCAAAGTAAGAATTTGACACTTTATCCATTAATCCAGTAATTTGAATGATTCAAAGTCGTCTTTGTACCCAGTGAAAAGAAGAAAATGGTATCGAGGTAATAGACAGGCTAATACGAATCCTCGAGAATGTTTGAAAACATATAAAGCTAAAGCTTCGTGAAAAAAAAATGGATTTTAAATGCCAATTATCGACAACGGTGGCGATTAAACAGTTTATTATATGAAAGTATCGATTAAATAATGTTGCAATTTTTTTCATTTTATTATAATAAATAATATCAAAATTATGCCGGTCACGCTCTTGTTAGACAGACTGTATGTATACCTTCTTAATTAAATTTGGCCGAGACAAATAGACATTTCGATATACTGTATACAATATACAAATGACACTTTAGACGTGTTATGGAATGTGTGTGATGCACCCCCCGTGAATGTGTCCTGGTGGCTTGCAGACTCAGACCAGGAGGACCATTCTCACAACTCGGGGCTAATGAACATCAGAAAACCGCTAGGTAAGTATCTCTACGTCGACTTTGAGACCTTCATTACTATTACTTTCGTTTGCACCTTAGATATTCGCAATGTCGCTCTTCTAATCGAAGCAATTCCCGTAACTTTTCAAGCGCTGATTATCTACGAGTTTCACGTTGACATTTCGGTTTAAATTTTTCTTTGGTACTTTCAACATTAATTTTGCCAAGATCAAACATGTACACATATGTACATACAATATATGTATATGTATATATATATTCGTATTCACATTTTAAAACATCTCTACATTTCTATCATCTTCATAAGCATCACGCACACACTAACGATGTATACTTCTGACGATGATATTAAGATAAGTTGTGCTATGAATCTTTGTCGTATATCTTCATAAATGATTATTCTTATTCATCTATAGTTATAAGTCTATATATGTGCAAATATCAGATAATATTCCCTTGGTACGACTACGTAAACCTTCTTCGAAGTTGAGACCTACTTGGGAAGAGAAAGAGAGAGAAATGGAATTAAATTCAGCGAATATACTACTTTTTTATCGTTTAAACTAAAAGTGACAAATATAATAAACGATCTCAGTATTCTAGGGCGACTATACATTTTGAAACGGATCGCGTCTACTTATAGACTTTGAAGCCGGAGAGGATGGAGACGATAGCAGCGGCGGTGGGAATTCCTGGCGAGAGGAGCTGCAACGGCGTTATCAGCAGGAGAATGACTTTTTGGCGGAATTGCGATCTCGTAACAGTATACCGCAAACACCGTCGGCCACGCTGTCCAACGAGCAGGAGCAGGAGAGAGGCGAGAGAGAAGAGGCGGACGGTGAAAAGGAAGACGAAGATGAAGCCAACTGGGCGGAAGCGGTGAAAAGATGGGTCAATCGATAAGTTGATCCAGCAAGGAGTACTGGGCGTTAGGTGTTTAAGATACAAGTTTGAGGAATCCGATGAAGAGAAGACGTGACAGCGATCGAACCACATACACGTACACGCTGTGGACTAATACTTCGATATTAGTATACAATGTAATCTTAGGAAGAATTGAATGTCGTGCGATTATGAAAACCTATGCATTTTGTAAGGCGGTACTTGCGGTCGAAAAACGACGCGAAAATCGACGAACAAATCGTACGGAAGTCATGAAGATTTTCACGTGTACGAAACACAAGTACCGTAATTCATTCGTAGAATGGCATTTGTATCGTGAGCATACAATGATTTTGCTACTCCATTTATTTGCAATTTGTGATGTAATAAGACTTTCCGAGTTTGTTAAATATACACCCATACATATATATATATATATATATATATATATATATATATATACGACTCGAAAATAAGCATTTTGCGTTTTATTACATTTTTTATTTATTGTTATAATTGTTACCACCATTTGTAATTACTATTAAGCGAATGAAATGCGATACACAAGAGTACTGCATGTATCTTGTAATTCCATTGCTTTAAAGCTACTATAATTTTAAGGGAATATATATGTACATATTAACTGACGAAATGGTTTTGTCATCTCGCAATATTACTCATTCACGCAGACATTTATATTATAAATCATACGAAAAATTTTGCACACGTTACCATACCATTGACCAAGCCCGAAATAATTAACTTGTAACAGTAAGGTGATTGCAATTAAATCAATTTTTTAATAAATTACGAGTTTAGCGGAAACTTGGTTTGGAGAGCCAAAGTGTGTTTTTGTACATTCGTACCGGCGCTTGACGTACAATAAACGCTATTAAATAAAAAAGTAATGATATATAAACGAGTAAAAAAATATTGACGCATTAGATGACGCTTCAAGTGCTTTGAATTCGCATTTACAATTGCAGAGTAAAAAGAGTAGAGGAAAAACGAAACTAGTCTTACGTACAAAATACTCGTTTTTTTTTTTCAGTTCCTAGGATATAAGAGAGTATTCCAATTAATAATCCAATTGTTAAAACATGACTGCTACTGATAAGAACCAATGCGTTTTGTAACATTTAAATGGCATACCCTGTCCGCGAATCCTGTGTATATATACATATTTGACGTCAGAATTCCTTTTGTCTATCTCTTTACGTATGAAAATGATGTAGCGCCTATGAAAACTGAATAAAAGTTTATAGATAGACATCAAAATGGTTGTTTATTTTATAATGGTTATTATACAATGTTTATTTTACTAATTTAACACTCGGATAATAATCTTTTATTCTAATAAACTCATTCATAATCTGACTCTATCATAATTGTTTTATATTATCTCTTTTTATTTTGTTGTCTTGTATCCTGGAAATATTTTTGGCATATTTTTGACATAATAAATTAAATCTAAATTAATAAAAAGACATGTACAACTTAATTGGATAGAACAAGCGATTTTGAGTTATACGTTAAGAATCGCGTGAAGGCTTCTCTTGAGGTAGATGTCTATAAATGCAAATGCACATACACACAAAATATATATTCTGTATTTAAAAATAGTTTTTAGATTAATAAAATCTTGTTACAATACAGCATGTTGATATCTAAAGTTATACAAACCAATTTTTATATTAATCTCAATACAGACTTTAGCATTATATACCTTCGTGCAATAATATCTCTATTACTATTATTGATACAAGATTCGAAATATATTAATTGGAAGATCACATCTGCCATATAAATTGTCAGTAGAAAAATAATATAGTCAATTGTTGCAAAGAAATTGATAAATACTCTTTATTTTAGATCCGCCACTATTCTGGACTCCCTCTTTAAATTGGAGTTCTCTTTTTTCTTATGCATTTCTTTCTCCGTATTGTTACGTAAGTAACAACATGAAGAAAGAAGATAAAAAATATACGATATTTTTACATTGTTAGTGTACCATCAAGAACAAAGCTAAGTTCGATTATAGTCAATTCTAGATTTAAATAAGAAGTTTAAATAAGAGTGAAAATTGAGATTCTATTACTAATAAGAGAGATAAATCGAGCCTAATATTCCAGTATTCTCTGTTCATAATTTAATAAATGTAGCAGATGTTGACGTAAACTATAGCAAGAATAAATTTTAATATTGAATTGCTTTTTATACAAATGCTTAATTTAAAGATAACAGTATCACGAGAGACCTTTTAGTTTTAATATTTTTTTCTGCTTTGATTGTGACTTATTCCTGCGTTAACGTATCAATAATATTGTAGTGTTTCTCGCTCGTAGTTACATCATTTGTCTTATCGCTACTGTTACCTGGTAAACATAAAGATAAACGCAAACGTTTCAGTCTCGGTTTTTTTGTAATAGTTGGACACTCGAACGTGTCGTCGAATGTGTCATTAATGATTTCAACTTCTGGAGACGATGAACCATTTTGATCTGCAGTTTCCTGTTTTGCGTTTACTTGCTAAAGGATAAGAAATCAATTATGCATGTAGAAGAATATTGAAGAAAAAAATGTTATTTAAAATAACTTAACTTCTTCAACAACAGAATATATATATAATCATCTTACATATATAAATAATTAATTTTGATATTTTATATGCAAAACTATAGAGAATTAATGCTGGTCCCTAATTTTTATTGCTTTGAAAAATCTTATATAATATATAAGAGAATAAGAATGCTTATTATATTATATCGTGATACATTATGGACTTGAGAATTATTTCTATTTTTCAAAATACATTATTACATAATTATACAAAATACGTTAATACGTAAAGTACAATATTATTAAATCCATTATAAAATACAATATTACAAAAATTTTCATCAAAAACGTATGTTATGGCAGAACTAATTTCCATTACAGTGGATTCCAGAATTAAATTAATTACCTGGGGAGAAATATCGACTGTCCGTACGTTAATCAAAGAATTTTCATTGGAGTTTCTTTGGCTACTAGATTTTGCAATACAGTTTTGGTCCGTAATCTTATGCAGCTTTTCCAGTTGATTAACTCGATGTCGTAGGGATAAATTTTCACTTTCGCTAAATGCCAAACGTTCCTCGAATTCTCTAAAAACAGAAAAAAGTAGACTAGAAACGTTAAAGATTTAGTATTGAATAATGAAAATACGTACGAGCTCTTAGATCGTTCTTCCGCTAGGGAATCGCGATGCATCGTAAGTTGAGTTCGAAGACTTTCGATTTTTCTCGTTTTCTTTAATGATATCCTAAAATCAATGGATAGTGAGTTGTAAAATATCAAGATCAAAATATGTGTATAAGCAAGACATACTCTTTCAAATCGGAAATGCAATTAATTAAAGTGTTGCGATCTGTCCTATTTCCAACCATTTCCTGTACATCCTCAAGCGTACCCATTGACAACGCATTATGCATGCTGCAACAAAGATCAATTTGAGCAATAAGCTGCCAATGCTTGACTTAATTACACGAGACGATCAACATAAATAAACGTACTCTCGGAAATGTTCCACTTACTTTTCTTCCCAAGACAGCTTCTTTCTCAGAAACTCAGACTTTTCCTTAAAATGCTTTATCTGTTCCCTCAGGGCATATATAGCTGAGTTTTTCTGATTGATCTCGCTTTCCACCTTTCGCACTTCCTGCCTAAGGCCAGCATTCTGTTTCTCCAGAATCGCATTCTTCGAGGTGTAGTACTTGATATTCTTTTCGTTCAGTAAGATTTGAAACTTCAGGCTGTCGATCCTGCTTTGCGAGGACAAATTGTCCGCATTATCCGCGGCGGTCTCGGTATTCGAAACCGTGAAGTGAGCCTTATGGATCCTATTCTCCGTCACTTTGGCACGACATTGCGGACATGTCTCCGATCTGTGGAACAAACGTCAAATTAGTTGAAACGTTCGATCGATTCGTCGTCTCCTTTATAAACAAAATTGGAAATTTCACGACAAAACAATGGGATTTGTTTTTATCCGCATCCTGGAAAGAGGGAGACGGACGACGGAAGATGCGGAGAGCGAACGATACTGATAATACGCGTCTCATTCGTAGGAACATGATTAAACATATAACCGCGATACGCCGTGCGCCGTATTTACCTCTCGAGCCATTGCAACAGGCAGCGGTGATGAAACACATGGCCGCAGCGAGTGAAAAAGATGTCTTCGGACGATATCAGCAGGTCGTGACAGATGATACACAGGATTTTCATTCTGCATGCGATGAAAGTGAAAACGAGGCGCATAAACGACAGCGATCGGCTCCGTCTTCAGCCAGCGTACTCGACACTCGTAGTATTCACACATTCACAGTGCTCGCACTCGCACTAGTCCACGTCCACGCACTCCACGCACGCATCTGACGCAGACGCAGCTAGTCGCGCATGATCGTAGAACAGCTGATGAGACCTCTCCCCCCTCCCCCCTCTCCCTCTCATGCAGCTCGCAGCTCGCAGCTATACTGTGTCGCAGCTCCGGATCTTGTTGCTGTATCGCACGAACAATAGTTGCGTCAATCTGTCAAGATTCCTCGCCTCGAAGTCACAGAATGCATATATTTCTTGATAGGAACTGATAGAAACTTTGGGCCGGTGCTAAAACACTTTGAAGGCTTCGAAGCCTGGAGACATCGCAGCAAGATTCCTCGTGGCACGATACAGATTGCATTTGCAAAAGTTAACATGCGTTCTGTCAGCTAACAGAAAGAAAATTATAGTACGAGGGTTTTGTTCCGTAGATTGGATTTAAAGTTCTCAGATGCGTGATGTACAAGTCGCAGTTTGTCGGCTTGGACGATAAGCCGTGCGATACGAAGTGCCTGTTGTGCGACCGCACGTTTGTCCTTCCGACAAACGAGACGGATTTTCTCACGCATTTGTTTAAGGCGCATCGCCTCGTTATAGCCGACGTTTGGAAAATTGCCAATTTAAGGAGGTACAATGACCAATTCTTATCCTGTTGCCTGTATCATGTGTGTGTACTTTGCAGTTAGATATAATGATCCTGATAATTTCAGTTATGTACATTACTGGAGCATAAAATTTAAGGAAGCACCGTTGACGACTTATTGTAGTACATTGCTAATGGACTGCACACCGGATGGACAGCCAAGTAAAAATGAACATTATTTCCTGCTCTCTGACTGTCTGTCGGAGGACAAGACTTTGAGAGACGAAATACATCGGGCTAAACTGGTATGTCTATCAACAAACAGCTAATATGTTTGATATGTAGTTTATGATGGCTCTCTTTGTAACGATATGGAATTATTATTTCAAGGAATGGATATTGGCGAAACAAGCAGCTGAACGTGTGGATACCAGTTTCAAACGCGGCTGTATATTCTGCCGCACTGAAATCTGTGGATCACGTGCCGAGTATATAAAACATCTTTATCAGAAGCACAATCTTTACCTTGGTAAACCAGAAAATTTAGTGTTTGTCGACGAGCTTTTAGACAAAATCCAAACCAATGTTGAAAGGTATAACATTAAAAAATTAATACATGCATTACAATTGAATCTACATGTGCTCCAATAACATATAATGTAGTATATATATATATTTTTTTATAAAAATATTTATACAAAATTATTTATGTCAATCTTTTTAGTTTAATATGCATTTATTGCGAGGGAACATTTAAGGATCGTACGGTGTTAAAAGAACATATGCGAAAAAAATTCCACAAGTGTATAAATCCTCACAATAAAACGTACGATAAATTTTATATAAATAATTATCTGGAGCCGGAAAGGACTTGGGAAAAGAAACAGGTAATGTGCGATTTGAGATAAAAAATGTTAATACTTCAGAAATAATACTTCAGAATATAATGATTTTTTTAATTTCTATAGGCTAATTTGAAAACAAATCCTGACGTGGGAGGTGGCAGTAGCGAAAATGAAGATGAGGAAAGTTCTTGGTCTGATTGGAATGACGAATCTATTGGGATAACGTGTCTGTTTTGTAATTATAACAGTAATGAATTCACCTGTGTCTTGAGACATATGAAAGAGACGCACAGTTTTGATTTTGAAGAAACTGTCAAAGACTTGACTTTTTATCAAAAAGTAAAGAACTGTCGTGTAACCATTAGCTTTATGTTTTTAACGATATATTTTTCTGCAATGATTATCAAATTACAGGTGAAAGTGGTTAATTATATAAAAAGACAAATTCAATTAAAACGATGTATTTTCTGCGAAACAGAATCAGATAACGTTTTAGAGCATATGAAGAATCAACGACACTGTAAAATTGCCACACAAAAAGTTTGGGATCAGCCAGAGTAAATATGATTGGAATTACACAGAATTTATCTATATAAAAAATTATATTAAATGTTTTACCATTTATTCCAGATATTATTTTCCTATGTCTGAAAATGACTCGTTTTTGTACAATCTTGACGCAACTAGTAACAGCGATGAAGAAAGCGATATTGAGAATCTTACTGAAGCAATGTAAGTATGTATTGGAAGGAAATGATACATCAATTATAAATTAAAACAAATAATGCATTCAAAAAATTTCAGGTGTAATTTATAAACGATTTTCCCTGAATGGAAGCTAAACTTTATCCAGTATTTTAATGAAAAATTTTTTGTTAATTTATGTTATCATGTGAAGTACTACTCGATTGCATCCTTATACATTAAGATTTCATATATATTTCTGCTGTTATTATCTAATAAATTTATCTATATTGCTTATTATGGTATACATTTTCTTAACTGTATAAGGTACAATAATCCGAACGTTTCGGCTCCACATTGAGCCGTCTTCAGCGGCGTAAAAATTAGTAAAAGTAAAATTAGATTAGAAATGATGAATTATAAAGCTAGAAATTTTACTGTCAACAATTCTGCTTGGATTAATCGTCGATTGAGTTATTCACAATTTACGAGGCGGACCTGGGAGATGACGTCTTAGAAGATAATTCGGCCGAGGAGAGCACCAGCGGCGAGGATTATCCGTTGGATTCAGACTTCAGACGATGTGCAAGAGGTAATTAAGGACACGTGTTGGACGTTG